TTCCATCATTCAGAATCTTACTCCAAACGCTCACTGAAGATATGTTCCTGGAACATCGAATCCAGCAGATTGCCTCACGAGGTATCAATGCATCACAACTTCAAGAACATCCATTGTGGTGGACCGCACCACCATGGATAAAATCGCTTGAATCATGGCCATCACAGCTAATGTTGAACGACAAACAATGTGAACAACATATCCCGACATATCATTATTAGGCACAGAACCCAAAACACAATATCACTTGGATATCATATACAGATATTCATCGCTTAACAAATTGCTGAGAATGACTCCCCTCTGTCTCATATTCATCGCACTGCTAAGGAGAAATCATGAGATGGCGCCTACTTTCTAGATACCAAGGGAACCTTAGAAAAAGGCAACTCACTTTACTCATACTTTACAACGACATACTTTACTTACGAATTAAAGGTCCTTAACTTCAAGGCTCACTTACCAAGGACCTCATGCATTCAGTCGATTAACAGCGCATGTCGACAATCAAGGAATAATTAGGGTCGGTGGAAGATTCGACAGAGCTGCACTCACGCAAGACAACAAGCACCCGGATATTATCCCACGACAATCACACTTCTCAGCTCTAGTTATCGCTCATGCTCATGAACGAACCCTCCACGGAGGCACGCAACTCACATTAGCGTACACTCGCAAACAATATTGAATCGTTGGTGGGACATTCCCTGTAAAAACACACATCTCGCGGTGCATTATGTGTGCTCGACAAAGGGGAATCCGTGCTCATCAACTGATGGGCCAACTGCCTGTCTCTAGAGTGACGCCATCACGACCGTTCACTCAGGCAAGAGTTGACTATGCCAGTCCCTTAACCATAAAAACCGGGAAGGGCCGACGAGCAAAAGCTCACAACTTTTTGTGTATTTTGCCACATTAACGGTACACCTCGAGTCAGTCTCTGACTATATAACCAATGGTTTCATTGCTAACATATTCTACTCAGACTGTGGTACAACTTTTATCGGGTCTAATGCCGCGATCAAAAGACTGTACGTTCAAGGCACCCTCGAACATCAATAGATACTAAATATACTTTTCCAAGACAACACTCAATGCGAATTCAACCTACCCGCCACGCCACACATGCGATGCAAGTGAGAACCTGTGGTAAAATCTATAAAATACCACCTGAAACGTATTATCGGAGAGACCTTGTTCACCCTTGAAGAGCTTACCAACTTGCTTGCTCAGATCAAAGCAATTCTCAACTCAAGGCCTTTAGAGCCAATGAGTGACGACCCCAAAGATATACATATGTATAATATAATATTTTAAAGTGAAATTTCTTACACTTTTTTTATGTTCAACTTGAAAACAAGATTTAAAATTTTCTGACTAGTGCCGATTGATGTATCTGTTATTCTAATGTTAGTTAATTCACCTTTTTTAATAATCAAGAACATATAAAAAATTGAAATTAAAAAATGTTCTTATTTATATCTAAAGTTAATTTAAAATAATTGAACTTATTTCTAATATGTTATTTTTACATTTTAAGTCTTTAAAACAATCTTACCTTTTAAAATATTTAACGTTTATAACGTCTTGTAAACCGTATTCCCTATTTTTTTTAATATACTAATTTTACTAGTATTTTACAGTACTATTATTTAATATTTTTTTTATTTGATCAGTATCATGAAAAATGAAATTATATTAAATTTTTACTATTTTAAAATTATTATTAGAATAAGAATCATATGAACAATATTGGTATAAAATTTAAATTGTTATATATTTGTATAATATGTCATATAGAATTTTTAATATTTATATTTTTACAATTTTGTTTTGAATATTTTTAATTTTATATTTTCCACAATATAAATAATAGCATGCAATATAAACTATAAATTAAATGTATATAAATTATAATAATTTTCAATCTAAATTAAATAAATGTAATATCGAATAATACTTAATTGTATATATGATTGTTTGTAAATATGTATTGTAAACTAAACTACATTTTATTTATAAACAATATTAGAAAAATTGTTTTGTAACAAGTGGCCAAAATTTTAATAAGTTTTCATTAGCATACATAGAATTCTATTATAAAATATTTTGTATGTATAGCTAAAATAATAATTTGAATTAGATAAATATAATTTTAACGTGTGTCAAATAAGAATATTTAATTTCATATATTTGAAATAAAAATTTAGGTAAGAAATGAAATTAATGTTATTTATACTTATTTTTACTCATTAAAACTTTATAAATATATTTTTAAAAATTTATTTCATAATATATTTACTTTTATACTTTTCTAAATTACTTTGAAATATATTATACAGAAATTTTTATAATTGATTTGTAGTATTGTTTTAAAATGTTTATTTTTAATTACATAGCAATTAATATTATTAAATACTATATAGTAAAATAAAAATATTTAACAATATACAGCATGTATTCTATTTATTATCTAACAATTTGTCATTGATAATAAATAATTGAATGATATTGCATTGTGATCTACCCATTTTACAAAGTATGGAAAGGATTGACAAATGTATGGTAACATAGCTATACAATTAGTCTCTGTACAATATAAATTCTCAGCTTTGCATCATGCATAAAGACTGTAAGTAGCTTAAAATTGTTTAGTGTCAGTTTCGTAACACTATTTTCATTTTTAAAAGTCATATTTTTTGTAATTAAATGTGAACGACTAATAATTTAATTACCTGATATTTTTTATGAATGTACTGCAATAACATCAAACTATTATTTGCCAAATTAGAACCATTATAAACAAATTATTTTTTGAGTCCTATTAAAAATGCTACATTTAGAAAATCTATACTGTTTTGATAAGATATTTGGAGTAAATATTTATTATCTTTTGCATAAATTTTGTCAAACGATCTAGACGTAAAATAGAACATCATTCCAACAGTCATAATATTTCATTTTTTTCTTTCTTTAAATTTTTTGATGATTGACTAACAATTCCATTAGTAAAAGTTTTGAACTTTGTTGCTTAATCTTATGACAAACATTGTTCAAAAGCCTAATATGCATCAATATATAAAAGTTTGTTAATTTAATGATTTATAATTAATTGACAATAAAATTAATTAATATTTTCAAATGTTTTATTTCATTATGCAATAATTTAAGATTTTATAGTAAATAATAATTTTAATACATTATTTATCTGACAGTTATAACATGAATGTGGTATAGATAAATTTACTTTCATGATATGGAACAAAACACGTTGGGTCAGTAATCAATTAAAAAATTACACGATAAAATTATATGTATTGTATTAACTGTTGCTTATCTACAATTTATATTTCAGTATAAGAGCGGATAATATCAGTTTGTATATCAGAAATAATGTTTGGGACTATATTGTTACATCTTACTTTACAAAACATTTAATTCATTTATGTAAATATAATAAAAATGAATTAATTTTTCTATTACAAGTTATAGGCTTACATTAATTTAATGTTGTTTAATATTATATATAAATTCTTAAATCGGAATTATACATTATATATTATAACTTATGACTATATAATCATATTGTTCAATTGAAGTAAAAGTTTAAGTAATATGAAAAAAATTATACAGCATATGTTTTGCTTAAAATAATAGATTTAAATGATTGAAGGTCTATTTGAAAACTATCTGAATATATAATTTGTAGGTATTTGTAATATAAAATAAGGAAAAAAGATTGTATATTATTATTAAAGTATGACCATATGTTATTGAAAAGTTTAATAAATACTGAAATTCTGTTCTAATGAATAATTTATTATTAAAATCTTATTATATCAAATATAATATTAAAACATTTAAATATATATATTATTATTAAAGAATTTTAAAATAAATTTTCAATTTTTTTGCATTTAAATCTATTTTATTTTTAATACGAATATTTTAATGTTATAATTATTTATCATTAATGTGTAAGGATTGATTTAATAATTTATTATGTTTAAATGGTAACTAATCTAAATACGTTTCACGTTTGTTTCTAGCTATTATTATTAAAAATTATTATCTTTTATTTTTAATTTTTTTATATAAAATTCTGTGCACTATATTATTAGTAACAAATAATTTTATAATCATATTATGGTTAATTCAAATTCTTCATTATAATATTTAAACAATAATGGGTTAGATTTATTAACATTTATTATGTAAAAATTTTTAAGAAGAGCATTAAATAGATACAATCGCTTAATTTATTTGAAAATTAATTTATTACAACTAACGCTATTTACATCAAATATGAAACTTTCAAATCAGATATCCCCAATTATTAAATTAATGATACATTTCAGTCGTTATTATTGTCTACTATTAACTACTACTACGAACTAACAAATATTGCTATTATTTACTACCAATTACTATTACTATATAATAAATATCTATAATTGAACAATGAAAATTAAAAAAGTTACTATTTGGAAGAACTCTACTTTATATTAAAAATATGATTTATCACTAATCATTGGTAACCAGATTAGAATAATTATACTTTAAAGATAAATATTTTTTTATAAATGGAATGTAACAAGATCACATTCCATTTTTACTTTTTAAAGTTTGTTCTTTAGTTCAATTGTTAACTCTTACAACTGATAATGGAATATAGTCACACTGTTCATTAAATTTATTTATTTATAAAAATTATTATTGAACAGTATATATCAATTTCTAATTGTATAGAAAATGTAATTTTTTCTTGCTCTACTACTTGTTTTCACATCTTTTATTCTTTAAACTTCATAAAGCATATAAATTCAAAGTTTCTCTTTTGATTGGTTCCTTCATAATCATATTTCCGTTGTTCAACACATTCCATTGCGTATAACAACGAAACATAATTGTAATCACAAATTGTACAAAATATTCAGAATTATTAAACAAATTTTTAACATTATTTTATAGAAAATTCAATTTTACAACTAAAATTAATTATTGAGGACATTTTACTTATAGATAATGCAACTGAATTAATTAACCAACAAATATTTGTTTCTCTTTACAAAGATTTACATTTATAATATTAAAATGTGATCTCTTAGCATTGTCATCACAAAAAAAGATGACGTGGAACTAGGTTAGATTTAGAAGAATCATGAATTTTTTACTTACACTCGCATTCACATGTAATTCTTTGGTATAAATCTTATTAGATTAACCAATACATTGTAAATATGTTCGAAATCACGGACACACAGAGTAAGTATATCTATATGTAATAAATAGTTAAAAATCCACATTATGTATTAAATAATACAAAATTCATTTATAAATAACTACTGCATATTATCCATTTTTTTTTAAGAAATTGGCGTTGGCCTAGCTGGTTTTGGTATAACATTTTTATTTCTTGGTGTATTACTTTTATTTGACAAAGGACTTCTTGCAATAGGCAATGTAAGTTAATTATATTAATATATATTGTCGATTAAATAATTATTGTGAAAGTATAAAATAAAAAAAATAACATTGAATAAAATTAACTTAATAAGGCGTAATTATTTTTAGATTCTATTTATATCAGGTTTAGGATGCGTTATTGGTCCAAGAAGAACATTTTGTTTTTTTTTTCAAAGGCATAAAATTAAAGGTAGCATATCATTTATAAGCGGCATAATTATTGTATTAATAGGATGGCCAATTGTTGGTATGATTTTTGAAACTTATGGATTCATTTTGCTTTTTAGGTAAGCCTTGTAATCTTTATAATTTTAAAGTATTCTTATTTTATATATTTTTTACTTATATATGTAATATTGAAAAAATTTTTACAAATTAATCAATTTAACAAATACTTGCATGAAATGTAAAAGTATTGATAAATATAAGTGTTAAATATCAATGTTTGTTTTATATTTTTAGTGGATTTCTACCAGTTGCTATCAATTTTATACGAAGAATTCCAGTTCTTGGAACTTTATTGAATATGGCAATTATTAGTCGTATTCTTGATATGCTAGCAGGAGATTCTAATAGAACAAGAGTATGACCTCATTAAAAACTGCTATTCATTCGCTATTTGACTGTATATACAACTCATTAATTAATATTTTTCATTGAATTTTGTCCTTTTCCCAGCTTCATTCCATAAGTAATTTTTTTTACATGTAAATGCTAATTTGATTTATTATATTAATATAAATGTATGAATAAGCAATTATTGTTATCTGTACAGACACAGATTTATAGGTAAATAAGTGTATAAAAATTATTATATATGTACAATACTTCATTTATAAGCGATTGCATTTCCAACATATTAATTAATAGTAGAATAAAAGTGAAATAATATAATTTATAATCAGCCTACAATTATGTTGAATCTTTGTAATTATCAACCATTAGTTATTATCACTGATATCATAAACACGAATATGTAAAAATGAAATGGTTTTCTTATGATTAAAATAAAATTAAATACTAGTGAATTACTATAATTACTATAACTAAGCACTTGAAGGTTTATATGGTTCAAAGTTTAAAGGATAATTCTTAAACTTATTTCTCAAATTAAGTGATCTAGTGCATTTTTATTTAAATTTTGGCGATTATTAATATTGATAGTAAATATAAATATCAAACATTAATTTTCAGTTTATAACTGTTGATATAAAATCCCTCGGATTTTTGTTTTGTTTATAAACAGTAAAATGGATAGGATTGAAAAAAAGTAAAAACAAATTTCGATGTCAACTTTTTGTTTCGATTTTTATTTATCATTCCTGCATACATCCTAACACGAACAAATTAGATGTATACGTTTTCGGTTTCTTGTTACATATCTTACATAGTCGTCTGCATTATTAGTGCAAAATTTAATTAATCGTGTTTTTTTTCTTGTTGTTTTGCTTTTCATGTTGTTATTGACAAAAAATTGATTTTCGTTAAGTTTTAATTATTTATTTCATTATCTACAATGGGCCGAAAATTTTAAGGGCGGGTGCGGCCCATGTCTACCTGCACCCCGCCATCGCCGTTCCGTTAATTTAATTTTGTTATGTATTCTAAAATGATCTTACATCGCGCGTCCATTTTATTTCTTGAATGCTTTAATTTTATAATATTCATTACAATTTTTTGTTTTTTACAAACGTTAAGATCTTAGAGATGCTTAATTTGCATCATCATTGAGTATGTAATGTAATTGAAATGTCACACCGTTTAATTATATGTGTGCATCGGCTTTCCCAACTTTTTACACTCGAAGCTGATAATTTATTTAAGAATAATTATAATTATTACTTTTTTATTTGTATTTAAATATTATGAAATTAAACTGATTCTGTTTTTATACGCATTATCGTAAAATTCAAAATAAAGTTAATTTTTTTTAATTCAATTTTTTCTCATTTAGTTAATTGTATTTAAACATTCAATATAGCTTCTTACACAAATACATGTGCTTCATTTATTATTCTTTTTTCATTTTATTGAGCATTTAATAATATTTTACACAAACGGTCAGTAAAGATAATGGTAGTGCAGTGACAGTGCAGAATAAGCAAATACTGTATTTGGTAATAAATTATGCGAATTTAAAGATCGAACTTTCAATTTCATTATTAAATATTAAATACTCTGCACTTACTGAATGTATGAAATAGAATTCAACTCGCGTATCGTTTTTGGTTTGCGAGCTATGAAATTGTCAAGACAAGTATGTTTTTTGCTTCAACATTGATAATGTGTTACTTGGTATTCAAGATATTTTTTTTTTAAATATTTGTTATACTTTTATATGTAGGGTACAATGATATGGAATTGAAATGTAGGGCGGTTTTATATTATGGAGTGTAACATTTTCACATTTTTTACATTTTCTATCATATATATATATATATATATATATATATATATATATAGTGATGTGTAATTATGACGTGAAGACCGTTTTATAGTTGGTTTATACATTTTTTTTTAAATTTCTTAACGCTTCTCAGTGGTATAGATTATCTGATGGTAATTTTGTTCCTGTTAGTTTAATTATTTTTATTTGCATTGTTAAAGCTTAAAGAAGATTCTTGATTTCATCATAAAGAACAAGTACAAGAGCACCACCAGTACCACGAAGAACGTTGGAGAAAGCACCCTTGAAAAAGGCACCACTACCTTCACTTTTATAGATGGTTGCCCAGCAGTTAGCAGTACTTGTGTACAGAATTTCCGATTTCGCACGACCGGACTGCATCATCATACGTCTACGAACGGTATCAAAAGGATATGAAATGATGCCGGCAACGGTTGTGACGACCTGTTCATGACAATATTTCAGTAAATTATATTATTTACATACTTATACATAATAAATTCACTATAAAATTAAACATTAAAAAAATATCTTTTATTAACATTTTGTTGAAATTCATTTTAGTGAAAGTTGATATAACTTAGAATGACTAATTTTGAACCATATAAAAATTTTGTTTCAAACATTATTTTTAATGAAATCATAATTTATCAGTTTTTTTTAAATGAAAACAATATATCAAACTTTCAAGTTGAAGGTTTTAATTCTTTCAAATATTTCGTTTTTTTTTTAGAGTAAAAAAGAATCGAAATTAAATCTAGTTTAACTAAAAATATATTTGAGAGAAATACATTTAAATTACATATATTGAATAAACTTTTATAAATTAATAAATTCATAGAATTTTCATTTAAGTTTCATGATTTTATAACGAAGCAAAAATTTTAATTTAACTGAATTTCTAAAATACAGATTTTTAATGTAATTTCTTTACTAATTTATTATAATACACATTTTCAATAGTTTTTTTTAATAAAGTTAAAATAACATTAACACTTTTGATAATAACGTAAAGAAATATGGAAAATTTGTTTTGAAACTATTCACTTTTATGCAACTTATTTAAATATGAATTATTAATACTAAAAGAACAATAAAACTAGTGATACAAAACTGAATTACTTAATATATTCACTTTTTAAAATGAATATAAACATCTTTTAAATAAGAAACGATATGTAATAATTTTTATGAAAACAATAATTAACTACTAACCTGTGCAATACCCCAAGAAACAAGGAATGGAGTTTTCTTCGGATCTGGAAGCATGCCACGAGCGGTATCGTAGAAACCGAAATACGATGCGCGATAGATAATGATACCTTGGACTGATACACCAAATCCTCTATAGAGTCCTGAGAGACCATCAGATACGAAAATCTTTTTCAAACAGTTTCCAAGACCTGTAAATTCTCGTTCTCCACCAGCTTTACCAACATCGGCAGCCAGTCTACGTATATATATTTATGATGTAACAATATAAATTTTTATATTACATTAAAATTTTTTATTTACAATTAAACTAAGATTATGTTAATTATACTTAAAAAATCTAATAATTAAATCAATCATTTTCTTTTAAGGAACAAATATGGTATTTCTGTTAATATTTATAAACAAAAAAGATATTTCGAAATTTTTAAAAGATAAATATACAAACAATCATTATGTAATTCATAAGTATAAATAAAACATTTGATTTTCTGATTATTCATAAGATTTAAAAAATTTTTGTCTTTTTGAACGAAGAAATTACATTACAAATTAAAGAACAAAATTTTACATATCAAAATTATTATGTATTATCTGGATAGTGATAGTTCAATGAGATACATTACCTGGTTCTGGCAAAGTCAAGTGGATAAACAAAGCACAAAGATGTAGCTCCTGCAGCACCACCAGATGCTAGGTTACCAAGAAAGTAACGTCCAAATTGAGTATTTTTGTCAACTCCACCAAGGAATACTGATTTATACTTGTCTTTGAACGCGAAATTAAGTGCCTGAGTGGGAAAATAACGGATGACGTTGGCCAAGTTTCCACGCCAAAAACTGAAAAAACCTTGTTCCCTGGGAATACGAATGAAGCAATCAACCATACCTGATAATAGAAAATTTAGTGTATTAGCTTAGTTATTTGAGAAAATATTATGTCAAGTTTAAGCTATATTTCTTTTTCAAAATTAATTAAAAATTTTTAAATAAATAATTAAATTTGTATACATAAATAAGAGTAACTTTGAAATACTTTATGTGTACATAAGACATTTTCTTTTAATAATGAATTATTTTTAAAAATTAAATTAATATTTTGAAAGTTATTTGGTATAATGGATATTTAATCATTTTAAATTTGTTAATTATTTTGCTAACTCTTTATGCCGAAATTTGTATTATTTAAGTAACGAAATATATTAAATAATAAATTAGATTTAAAGAAGTAATATTCAACAATTTTTAATGATCAAATATAATTAAAGAAAACGCTGTAAATTTAATTTTATTACACTTAAAGATTTCAAGAAAACGCATTTAATTAAAAAACAATTTTTTTCGATACTGCATTTGTATCATGTATATTTATCCAGCATAAAAGAGGAATAATGATTTTATCTAATAGATTTAATTATACATATTATGACATACAATTACTTATGTAAAGTTGTTGATAATGTAATCGCTTTAAGAAATGTTAGTTAAGACGCGATAAACGTATTTTTATTTAGTGACAAAATTTTTTTCAAATTTAATAAGTCATTAATAAACCACAAATAACAAAATAAAAGTTCTGTTATCAATTAATTTACAGTTAATTTTTATTTTAGCAAATTAATATTCAAATGTTGTAGAGTACTTTATATTATACAATCTTTTTGTGTACATATACAAGCATATTTCAATTCTGTAATTTAATTTTTTTTTATATAATTTTAGTGCATTATCTCCACTACTTAAATATGATTTTTAAAAATAATTTATAATTAATGCACAGAAGAAAATTTTAATAAAATATATTAAAAAAAATTTTTTTTCTGAATTAAATTTTGTACAATCAACACATTTAATACCCTATCTTTTAATATGGTATATGCTGATATAAATAATTGTTTTACAATTTTTAAACTTAATTTATCAAAAGAAAAGATAAATGTATAATTTAAAATCATTCCATTTAATAATTAAGATAATATTTCTTGATATATATCTTTAAAAAAATGTAATAATACACAGCTTTGACAGGTTTCTTTAATTAAATATATTCATAGCATTGGCAAGTTTTCTATTCTAAAACATTTATATAACAATATATATATAAGTAATTTTATGTATTTTATTATAAATTTTAAATTGAAAAATTTAACCATAACATTAATATGGCATATTAACATAAATTAAAAAATACAATATATTGTAATATATTTTTTTTTAATATTCAATTATTATATAAGCAACAGGAATACACATTTGACAAAAGTAACATTAGAGAGTACAAGATAAATTTTAAAGATTAAAATATGTATTTTTCAATTAAATTAGTTTTTCTAACTGTAGGTAAATTGTTAGAAATTTTCTTTTATAATTCAATAGAACAAAAAATTTTATTTAAAATTGTTTTATTTCAATTTTATTTTATTATTATTTTATTACTTTTTAAATACAAAGATATATTATAATTTTCTAATTCTTGGCTTTATTGAAATAAAAATTAAACAACATTTTATAATTAAAATATTTAATTAAATATATTTATTATGAATTTATTTATTTTTCATGTCATAATTTAAGAGATGAAAATCATTAATATAAGCAAATACTCGTATTTGTAGAGACGATAATTTTGTAACCTAGAAAAATGTTTGGATAATCTTCAAACTTGCGCTTTTGAAATACAGTTGACTATGCTAAGAATGCTGTACATTCTTAGCTGTGAAGGTCAGGGTCTAACCTAAACCTAATGCAGACATAACATAACTCACGTACATGCAGCGAATACGATCAATATAATTTGAAGCCAATATATGCAGCAAGATATATTAATAGTATAATGTTTAATTTCTATTATTTGATTAAAATAATTAAAACAATACTATTTTATAATTAATATTGTTGATAATTTCATAATGAATATTATTCTAATAATTAATGCTTGGGAATGAAATAATTATAAGTTAACTATTACACTAAATTTATTAACGATTAAGTCGCAATTAGCAATACATATTCACAAATATTAAATTAAAGATAAAGGTTATTCGAATTGAACAAGAGTATTATTGATGGATTCTACATAAAATATATTATGAATTATACAATCTTAACAAAGTTTATAACGTTCATACGTATTTCGACAAGTAGTACGAAAACGCACTAGTGATCTCAAAATTAAGTTAATCAATATTAATTTAGATTCATTTTAAGTTGATCTAGTAAAAATAATTTAGTTTGAAATTTTAAAAACAATAATTTAATTCTATAAAAATGAAGTTCCATAGTTAATTTTTCGGTATAACACATTTATAAGTATTCACTTAAAATCGACGTGACTGAACCCGCCATATTGGTCCGCATCGTCATTGATCGCATACTGTATACGAACTATTCACGCGTGTACTACCTGCTGTTTCTCTTTCACACTTATAATACAATACTTTTCAATCATATTTGAATTTTTAATCGGATTGATTATATTCTAATGAATTCTATCATAGCTTTTCACAGAGTTAAACTAAGTTTATTAGCTTTTACTATTTAATAATTTGTGCCCCCTGCCTATTGAATTGTACATTCAATATTATGCGACTGCCTTTTTGTTTCCTTTATCAATTTAATGTTTTGAAAGCGATGTAAACGATAAGTTTACTTATATAAGAGATATCTATCCATATTAGAGCACCAATATATTAAAATATGAAGATACTATATTTTTCAACAAGCATTACATAATACAGAATCGATTAAATATTTTATTTAGATTCTTGATTTTTAAAAGAAATGACGAAAGAAGTTTAATTAAACTAGATGTACAATTAAATTCAGGATGCTGATCATGTGTCGTTGATACACTGTCACTACTTCATTCAACTGTACTGTATTTTCCTGTTTCTATTCATTGTAGAATGTACATATGTATTTTATTCTATCTTACTCGCATGCGCACCCATATCCACACCCACACACACGCACTGGGACTCGAAAATACTCTCTTTGAAATTCCATTTATTTATTTCAATTTCTTTGACTCTGTTCAATCTCTCTTATGTGTGGCACCGCATATGAACACGAGGCAGTCATTCGAATCTAAACTATTTTCAATGAATGAATGTTGACACTCAGAAACATTCGAAATATTGGAACACTTCATCTGATATTGATATTTCAAGAATGTAAAAATTAAGTAGAGTATTATTATATACTCACCTTTGTAGCGCTTGTCCTCAGCGATTTGCTTGGAGATATGCTGAACTTGGAGCAACAATTTAACACGCTCAATAGGCGCTACAGCGGTTTTAGAAACGGCAGCGGCAATTCCACCGGCAAGAAAATCTTTGGCGAATGCCACAGGATCTGTTAGACTAGACATTTTGTGAGTTAGGTGGTTGACGTGAGAAGAGTTAAAAACGGGTTAAAAAGAGGAATAGAGGAAAGTCTTGACTCCTATATCGAACGCGCGCCGGACGACGAGTGAGCGAGGCAAAGTTCTTTTCGGCTCAGGAGAGTCTCTACTAAAAATAGACGCGTAGGTCACGTGTTCATCTTCTGCGCAGATCCCGGTTACGCCTAATGTACCTCGCCAAACCAGAGATCATTAAGGACGTTGGAAACTTAACGCCTATCAACTTCTTTTAGTATCTAGAAAAATTCTATTTGCGAGCTGAATATATTATAATACATTGATTTATTTTATCAGATAATACTTTTAACTTTAAATAGTAATGAACATTCAAATTGCATGAAAAGTTTCCGGTAACGATGAGCCAATCAAACAAATACATGAGTTTTTAATGAGTTAAGGCAAGGATTATTACAAGAGACAGCAAAGTGATTGGGATAATGTATCAAAAATTTATAATTTTTCTAGAATAGTTTTATTCACAATTTTTGGAATCAATATTTAATTAAAATATGATGATGATAGATAATAATATGCTGAGTTTTCAATTTTGTTAAATTAAAAAGTTGAGCAGCTTTTAAATGTCCCGCTTTAAAAATATAAAAGAAAATTTCTTTGATCGCAAGATGGCATCATCGGGTGATCTAATAAATCTATTATGATCCACATTTGCTATTAAATTCTACGTCAATAAGAAAACAAATAATCACAATTTAAATAAATAGAATTAATTATGTAATCATAAATAATAATATTATGAGATGAATAGTAAAAAAATGTAAGAAAATAGCTATTAAATTTTGAAGCTCGTAGACATAAAATGTATAGAGTTGCCATTATTTTGAAGTTCATGAATAACGTTATATGCATTTAATGTCAGATCATTAGTACTTGTAACCAAAATACTTTTTTGCTTTATAATTAATGCATAATGAAAACTCCGTTTCTTATTGCCCAGGCCTCATTATTAATAATTGGATTAACGCAGTGATTGATATTTGTGCACAAGAGTTAAATAAATGAATGAGCAACTAGTATTATGTTTTTACTCAATACAATGTCGTTACATCCTTTCGCTATAAATGATCTATATGTATATAATATTTTATTTAATTTTTTTTCAATAACCTCTACAGGTACAAATCTTTCATTGTATATATAATAAATAGGTAAAATCGCCACATTTACTGAAATAGAAATTATTATTGTCCGTACAATCTTACTTCGTTTTCATCAATTTATGATTTCTTAAAAACAATTAGAAATTTTTAACATATTGTGGAAAAAAATGAATACCATATTATACGTATCGACAAAATTAATTTAATATTTATACATTATATTTTTTACATATATTTTCTTAATATGCATTTGATCTCAGAAATTAATTTCGTACAATACTATATTTTAAATGTAATGAAATAAAATGGACATATAAATATTTATCATTTATCTTTTTATTTATCTCATTTGACTAGATATAGATTACATTAAAATTTAATATAAGCTTACAATAAAGTAATATTTTTAATGATCTAAAATATTTTTTTATTTTGACCATTTTTTGAAGTATAATTCATTTTAATGATGCATTAACTTTGTTTAATTAAATTACACAAAAATTGTTATTTCGTAAAATCTAAAATAAATATTTTTAGTTTTGACAGTACTATCGAAATAACTGTAACTGTAAATACTTGTTCGTTTCATTTTTAATTAAATCTTAGAAGAAATATTTTCAATCAAATTCAATATTTTTTAAAGTATCATAATTTACAAATACAAAAGTCAAAATTTAATTAAGATAATTTAAGTTAAACTTATATAGTTCCATAAAATTTCTATTACTTTGACAAATTAAAAAAAGAATTTTTTTTAAATATATATTGATTATAATTAATATAATTTTTAAAATTAACATTTATTGATTTAACACAGTAAACATATCAATTATAACCCAAATGTAAAAATGCTGTACCATATGATAAAAAATAGGCTATAGTTAATGATTTTATGTTTATACACATTTTTTATGAATATACTCATAATTTGTTAAATTACTGTTTATTTATACATGATCTTTCATTCAATCATTCAATCTTTCATTAATCTCTCTTAATATTTGTTTAGAATGTTGTTTATTAATTCTGTATCATTATTTATCGATTTCTCTTGATAATCTCATTCACTCCTGTGACCTCTTGTGCTCCATCTTTCATTATTCGGAAGTGACAGTATTGAGAGATTGACAAAAAGATGACAAATAAATGGGTCATCGGGGCATGAAGCAAGGGATTACGCAAAGACTTTTGGCGTAGTTCCAACATTGTTGGATTAATGCATAAATGCACGAGCCCGCCAACGTTCAATAGACTAACAGCATTGCGATTTGCAAGAAATTCATATATATTTATACATGGCACTCATGCAGACCTTGTCAATTGTCATAGCATATAATAAGTATATCTGCTGAAATGTATTGAAAGAATAGAGGACTTGCGTTCCAATTTATTCTAGGATACTTTTTATTGTTTATATAATACGTTTTATATAAAAGCAATTTTATATTTTCAAATTAAACAATTGATTTGTTGTAAAAAATGATACGTTATTTTTAGCGCTTTAGAAGAATTATTTTTAATATGAAAGATTTTATTAATGTTTACTATGCATTTAACATTTTGTACAACTTTTATATTTTCTTATGTTACTTTTAAGATAAGTCAATCAAAAAATTGAATATTCTAAATCAATTATTTATACTATGTTAATTTTTTTATGAAAACTCTTTTTTAATAAATTATATTTATCTGCATATATTACATTTTAGTATTTTATTAAAATTTTACCATTATTACATAATTTCATACCATTAATACATAATATTAGTGCTACGTATTAAAGCTATATAAAGATAGAAATCCAAATATCGGATAAATAAACATTACATAAAATAATCGGGTTGAATAAATTGGACCAAAAATATTTGTTAAAACAATTAATAATATTTAAAAATTTATTAAATATGTAAGACTCAAGATGTTTGAAGATAATAACAGAAGGTTTAGAAAAAAGACATATTTTGTAAATAATAAAATTGTCATATTTAATAATTTATTAAAAATTAATAGTAGTAAGTACCTCTTATCAAAAATAATATTATTTATATTGAAATTATTTATAATGCATTTAATTAAAACAGTATTCATTTAAGGAACCAAAAAAATTGAAAAAATAAAATATATATATTAATTGAAAAATAATTATGAATTTTTATATTTAATATAATTATGAAAGATATTTTATTACAATTGGAAAATATATATTTTACTGTTTTTTATTATAATAATATATTACATTTTTAATTGTTTCATTTAATAATATAATATAAAAAAACTTAAATGTTTATCATGATTTAAAAATTGGCCGAAAAAAATAAAAAAAAATTTATCTAATTAAATTAATTTTTTAATCAGTATATTAATGTTTTTTATATAATTTGGATTATTATTTATTAATAAAAGTTATGATATCTAAATTTTTAAAAAATAAGGAAAATGGTAACAATTTGTAAATAAAATAAAAATTCTTTTGGTACTGTTAATATCTACTACTAAAACATAATTGAATGTGTTTCAGATAGATAGCATTTATACGATTACATTGATAAAATAATATAAAAGATATTTAAGTATATTTACTTCCTTTTAATAAGCAAAATTATTATGATAAATAATTATGTTTATAATTATGTAAAGAAGTCTTTACAATTAATTATGAGATATATTAAAGTTTATAAAGTATATATTTGGCTTAGAAGAATTTTAGTGAAAAAGTTTTATTAAGGCAACTTGAATATGTGATGAATTACTTCAACGAACGTGTATACATTAATAATTGAAAAGGTTGTTCACTTTAAGCACTTAATCTCACAATACTTAAAATATTCTTGTATAACTTGTAATGTTACTATTGAATTGTAAGTTGAATTCTTTTATGTCACTGAAGATTTTCTTATTTTTGTTGATTTTATAGAACACAAGTTATTTCGTTTCTTACTTAGAGTATGCGTAAGTGAATTAAATTCTTATGTAAAAATCTGTATATAATAATATAAAGTGATATTAATATATAGCAATAAAAATATATAAAGACATATCGCATTTGCTATTAAATTTTTCAATTTATATAGTGCAAAATTATATTTTAACTCATTAAATATATATAGAAAATCTTATTTTTGCTTAAGTAAAAGGTGGTTTTAAATTGAAATCCTTTTCAAATTTATTAATAGAATATAATAATAATCAAAATATTTACTATAAATATATAATGAGAATTATTATATTTATAATATTAAGAGCTATGCAATAAATTAATATATATATATATATATATAATAAAGTCGTTTTATATACCAGGCATGAAATATCTATATCTAGACAAAAATGTTTAGAATCAGGAATATTAAAAATTGAATTTATAATTAAAAATAAATATTCCGATATTTTTAATTTGTCCAATATCGTTAACAAGTTTAATAATTTTTAAATAATGCAACTATCACAATTAATTCAAAAAAATAAACAAGGCAATAATCATTATTTAAAAGAACGCAGTTTCGCAAAAATGTTGACGGTACACATACAAATATGTGCTTGCATGTAGATCTATGTATTAAGTAACGAAAATACAGTAAAATTATTGTTTCTAATGATCACAGCCACGGAGAGTATAAAAAAACATTATTTTCAGAATACGTATTCTAATCTTGTGTTGATTTTCTATACGACTCCCTTTTGCAAATATCTCAATGTCAGACCTAGACAATAGTGTTTTCATATTCTACTATGATTTAATGAATTAGTATACTGCATAATTCTATAAATTTTCAGCGGCTTTATCAATATAAAATTATATTATACATTTTAAATATGACGTTAATTTAAAGCATTTAAAATCATAGGTTTATTAATTGTACAAATACTGTTATAAAGATGTGAAGTGTTACAAAAACAAAATAAGTAACATATTGATAAAAGAATTTAGACATGCCTTATTTATTTATAAATTCAAAATTTCAGTCACGAATATTATTTGTTTTTTACGTGAAGATTTATAATGAACTATTTATTAAAATAATTTTATAAATTGATATTTATTTAAATTAAATGTATAGATATTTGCGATTTATTTGACACTAAAGCGTATAGCTGTAGCTTGAAAAAAATAAAACAATAGGAATAAAACAATAAGAATAAAATATTTTAAATATGAATAGATAATTTTATATTAAATGTATTTATATTCGTTTCTCTATAATCTAATGGCACTGACAATAATTTTGGAACCATCTACATATTCTAATCATTTAATGGAATTGAAAACTTGTCGATTAATTTTATAAGCACTTACTATACTTATGTTAAAAATTTTATATTGACATGAACTCCATAACAAAACACTATTTATGGTAAAAATTTATATTGACGTTTTGAAAACTTTTTGACTTTAAAAACAAATAATTACAATTATAATACATGATAAATAGATCCTTTTATTTATCCAAAATTGTAACGTAAATTTGTACATTACATAAAAATTTGTTTTAAAGTAGACATCTTTTTTGTATTATTTCCAACTATGAGTTTTCATAAAATTTAAGCTATCTAATATTTGCACTATTTATATACCGGTCTCTTCTGCTTGTGTTTTTATATACTTTCCACTCACTCTCTTACACGTCACTTTCCAATTCAGATGTCTCATTATGGATTGATCAGATATTTTTAAATTGTAAAAGTTGTAAATAATTACTGTTAGAATTTATTCATGATTTTAGTAATAAATCGTACATCATATAATTTGTTAGATTATTTAAATATTCAAATAAAATAAAATATAAGAATTTAATTTAATTATGACAAATTAAAATTACTTTTTAAATTTCATTCATATTAAAGTATGATAATACAGGTAATATTCGATTATTTCTTTATTAATCATATATTGAAAAAATATTAATAAGCAAATATAAATCATAATATAATCTTTCATTCATAGAAAATATTCTTAATAATATTGCATAACATTACCATATAAAATTGTTCAATATAAAATCTAGTAAATAAATCTAGATAAGCTTTTATCATTTACATTTAAAACGACATAATTATATAAAAATTATGTTTATAAATATTTTCAGAGTAATAATAATAAATTTTGATTCTGTATTAAAATATTATTGCATATAACACATAAATATTATATTTACAATAAATAATTATGAGTCAAAATTCAGTATATATATATAATTTTTTTCAAAGTTATAATAGTTTTCTACTACAAGATTATGACGTATTATTAAATATATTAGTATTTAAAAATATTTTTATCCAAAGCAGATATTGTTAATAATAATATTTAAATTTCACAATATAAACTTGATATAATATTTCTTTTATAGTATTTTATGTTAATTATAGAAAAATTAATGATTAAAATATTAATTGAAAAATTAGATACTTCAAAACAGGTAAATTTTTTTTTCTTATCATTATAAAAAATTGTTATTATTATTATTTTTTAACTATTTAATAATATTTATTATTTTTTATTAAATATCCATAGCAAAATTATATTTCTTATTTTCAAAATTTTAATAATTTATTATTTAATTGATTTAATATATATTTATTAATATAAATATTAATAAATGAATGATTAAATTCGATTTATATAAAAATCATTATAATAAATTTAAATTGTAAATTTAAAAATTATGCACTAGTATATATTATATATTTTAAAAAATATCTAAATAAAAATGAACTTAATTTTAATAACTGTACATGCGTTTAATTCTGTATACAGTCTATAATATAAAAAAATTTGATAGCATAAATTGATTACACTATCTATATTATCTTAGCAATAACTAAGAATTATATTAAGATATATGTCTTCAATTACACGGCGGGAAAAAATGTTATAAAACATCCGTAAGGATTGAATGAATATTCAATACTTTTACATGGCAAATTTTAATGATATGTTGTATATATATAATTGATGTACTGTGATATTTTAATTATCATGAAAGATTTATTTTATTTATTAACTACTTCATTTACAATAATACTCATATTTAGAAACTAGGGACAGGTATTTGGATAAACATTTTGCTTATTATATTTTTTTTATAATTTAACGATAATTCTAACAAATAATATATATTCAAGATTAGTAAAAGATATTTAGTATTTTTATAATTATTGAAAAAACAATATTTTATAATAATAATATTCTATAATTCATAAAATCGTCAAAGAATAATGTAAATAATAAATTAATGATTGAACGCTAAGAAAGTTGGATAAAATTTATTAAAATGAAACAATTAAATTACATAAAAGAAAAATAAATATATAATAACTAGCAAATGACATTAAATTTCTACAAAAATTATAATAGTGATTAATCATAGCACAATATGTAATCAAATTAGAGAAATTGATGACATTGTTTAAAATTAAAAAAAAAACAAATCTAAAACACTTAATATTGATCGATCTGCAATAAAATATAATGCACTGTGCCATCTTACAGCATTTTCTGTAAATACTAAATGCAAGTTTAATAAAAAGAAATAAAGAATACAGGAATATGAAAAAGAAATGGCAAAGCATATAAAATTAATACTTGATTAAAAGTTTGAAGTTTTTTGCTTTCAACAATAAAAGCGTAAGCAAAAGTGATTCATCACGGTAATTCTATCATAATGATTATTAACTTGAACATTCTTGTATTTAGTTTTAAATAGTTTTCAAGCAATTTATAACCTTAAAGGTATACAAATCTTTAATAGATTCTTTATATGTTGTTTTTTATTGTTGATGATTTTGGTTATTTTTAGCCTTGTATTTACTATACAGTAATAATTAAGAAGATATAATTTATCATGTTTTTATAGATAGTGCTGTATTTTGACGATTCGAAAATTATGAGTTTTATTTTGATATTTTTGTATGCAGTCATTATTAACAGGTTCACCACATGTTATAATTATTTTTTTTAGTGCAAGCACTATTGTTATATAATATTTTCAATTTGATAATTCTATTAAGTACATCTGTTTAGAATTAAGGAATATAATTATTAAGATTAGGTTTGCTACTTTTATCTGTATTAATTAGGGGAAATTTTATTATACATTTATTTCAAATAATTTTCAAATGTAACAACTAATTGTATTGTAACTAATAAAATATTAAGAAATTGTATAGTTTTTAATAAAGTATATTGCAAAAATATATATTCTATGTAAATGATACTAAAATATTAAAAACTATATTCTCGTTAAAGTAATATTTTTAATAACCTAAATTCTATTTAAATGTTATTAATATATGAAAGTTTATTGTAAATTTTTAATAATTAAATTTGTTTATGACCATATTTTTGTTAAATTATAATAATTAATATTAAATTATTTCAATTAAATTGTAAAATATTAATATTTATATGCTGTAATATTATATAAATTATACAAATGTATCATGACAATAATAGCTTAATAAAGTTCTTTTTTTAATTATATTATTTTTCTATAAAAATAAATACACAAATTAAAGATTAATATAATTCTAGTAAATTATTATTTCTGCCAATTTATAAATAATAAATAAACGAGTATTTTAATTAAAAATTAATATTAATTATTAAAATTTAAGTAATTGGTTAATAAATTATATTTATTGCATTACTATTATTTGTACTTAAAAATGTACTTGATAATTATATATTATTAGCATCATGTTTTTATATAATTTTAAAGTAATAGTACTTAATAATTTAATAATATAATAGAAATCACAAAACAATCTTTTTTAAGTTTTCATAGAAATGTCTTGATATAAATTAAAGTGATGTTGCCTGAAACAGAAGAAAATGTTGCAAATATGACAGAAGGTTTGTAAATGTATTATTTAATTTATTGTATATTTTAGAAAATCTCAATTTAATATTTTTATTCATTTAAAAGAATATCTTTTAATAATAAAAGTTGTTTGTATATCAATTTTTTTAGTATTTATTTATTTTCTATAAAAATAAATAGTTTAAAAATATATAAATACATAAGATCTAAAATAAGAAAAAATTCATTTTATAGAGGATGAAAATCAACCAGGCTATGAGTATAGAACACAAAATGGTAAATATATTTTGTAAACTTTAAAAGTGATATCCTAATTGTATTAAATTTGTAGTCATTTTTAATTAATTATATTATATTTTATTCTGAAATTGTTTTTGAATGGATAAATGAAAATTTATAAATAATAACTTATTATGAAGTATTATAAAAAGATATTGCTGTTGCTATATATATATATATAACTTTAACATTCCATATAATTTAATAAGTATATTTCTAAACTATTTTTATTATAAATTTTTAACGCAGCTTTAACATTTTATTATAATTAATAAACAATAATTTAAAAAATTAATATTTTTCTGCAACTCTATTTGAATTTATATTCACTTTTTTGTATCTCTTACAAACTTTAGCAGTTAAAATCAGTTATCTATATTTAAGTGAGTTAGTTCTATCATCTATCATTGTACATATAAAATGAGGCTTCGTTTTTAATTAATTTTAATGTATTTAACAAGTACTAAATTTAAATTTGGAATTTTTTGTCTTATTTTAGAGACAATTGATTCACGAGTAGTTCAAGGTGAAGATCTTCACGAAGAAATGACAGAAATGAGTTTTTCTGGATCATGTCAAGATACTTTATTAATTCATGGCTTAGGGCAAAGGGAAAATAATGATATTACTAGTGTTTGCACTACTAGTACTTGTGTATCAGACCATGGTTAGTTAATTTTTTTTAAATATTAATAACATTTTAAATTATTTTCATAGAAATATAAAATTAATATTTTCATAACTTTAATTATTTAATGTTATTTCAAATTTTACCAGAAAAACATATATATTGTAAATTTAATTGCGTTTAAATAACTTATTTGATAACATTTATTGAATAATAATCAAGAAGGATTTAGTTAAAAATTTATAATGCTGATTAACTCCTTTTGTATCCTATCTATTAATTACTGTTTATATTTTAATTTAGTTTTATGTGGTTATACATATTTTTATATTGTATAGTAATAATTAAATAACAAACTTTCAATAAATTATAAAAATTTTAAATTATAAAACAGAAGAGTAAATTCAAACAAAATAATTTTTCAATCCAAATTGATTATTACAGAGTCTAATTCTAGTAAAGTAAGTATTGTGACTGTTGTATTTCCGTGGGGTGCTCAAAAAGAAATAATGAAATCTCAGCAAATTGAGGATAATAATCTTCGACCAGGGGAGTTTGTGATGCAATCCCTATTTGCAGATTTTACAATTCAAGCTGAAAAGAAAATGGAAGCTGTTATGACAGAAACGGTAATGTTTTTTATTTATGTAAATTACTTTTTACTTGTATAGTGTGTACTTAATGTAATATTTAATGAAATGTATTATTTTAAGTTTTAATAAACACATTTATGTTAATGACTTATAATAGAAATATAATGTAAAAAAATAATAAAAATATTAATATACATAAACTAGTATAATAATTATATGACAAAATAATTATACTTTTGTTAGGAAAAGCCACTTTCTAAAGTTTTACAAAGAGGTGAAGATTCTCAGTTTGATCAACTTTTATCTGCCTTTGGATCGGTCGCTGAACATTGTCTTCCTTCCATATTGCGAGTTCTATTTAATTGGTATGAGAGGCAATTTATTGATCATGGATCAGATCAAAAAAAAATTGCTGCTGCAAAAGAAGATCAGAAAGGGAAAAGGTAAATGAAAGATATTACAATTTAGGTTTTAGAACATTGTAAATAATATATAGATTATTTTATAAAAGTACTCTAAATTTTTATATTGTATTTTATATCGAATAATATATTTTAATTTTAGTATAATGTATACAATAGTATCAGGAAGTGTAGAAACAATTGAAAAAAGTGAAGCTGATCTACTTCAAGAGAGAAGAGATTTGGCAGTAGAATTTATTTTTTGTTTAATGTTGATTGAGATATTAAGACAATTACCATTTCATCCAGGTCATGAAAATTTAGTTTTATACATTGAAAATATTGCTTTTAAGCATTTTAAATATAGAGAAGGGTTAGTATTTAGTAATTAAATAGTAATAAATTTTAATAATTATCAATAATTATGTAATTATTATAGCATTCAAAATGAACCAAATGCAGGAAATATTCATATAATAGCAGATTTATATGCTGAAGTAATAGGTGTTCTTGCACAGTCTCGTTTTATGTCTGTTCGTAAACGTTTTGTATTAGAATTAAAAGATTTGCGCGCTAAAGAGCCTGGTCCACATACAACACAGTGCATAATTTCATTATTGATGGGTATGAAATTTTTTAGAGTTAAGGTAAATTAATATTTTATTCAAAATGGTTACATTATCGATTGTAAAGATTACTTAAAATGTTAAATTTTAGATGGTGCCTATAGAAGAGTTTGAAGCATCTTTTCAATTTATGCAGGAATGTGCTCAATATTTTTTAGAAGTAAAAGACAAAGATGTAAAACATGCACTAGCTGGTTTATTTGTAGAAATTCTTGTTCCTGTTGCAGCTGTAAGTAAAATATTATCTTAATTATATAAGTTAAAATATTTTAACGCTTTTATTATTAACTTTTTTATATACAGGCTGTGAAAAATGAAGTTAATGTTCCTTGTTTGAAAAATTTTGTAGAAATGTTATATTCTACGACGTTAGATATGTGTACAAAAAATAAACATCGTCTAGCACTTTTTCCATTAGTTACATGTCTCTTATGCGTTAGTCAAAAAATCTTCTTTTTACAAAATTGGCATTATTTTTTAGCAATGTGTCTCTCTCATTTAAAAAATCGAGATCCTAAAATGTGTCGTGTTGCTTTAGGTATGTTTTGTATTTATAATTTTCTTAAAATATATTAGTAAATATAAATAGTTTGATTATACAAATATTTGAAGAATTTTTATAATAATGCTATTGAATAATTTTTATAACAATATACACTTGTAATAAATTATTTGTCTATTAAAAAATAAAAATGAAGATATTATAACAATTTTCCAACTATATAGACCATAAATTATTAAAAATATATTGTAAGTTATTGAAAATACAATGTATAAGCATACTTTTTATGCTATCATTTATAGAATGCTATTTTATAATAATATTTAAAGTTTTTTTTCTTCTATATTAACTTATTTTCTAATTTTTAAACAATTAAAAATTTGAAATTCATTGGAAGAAAAAAAAATATAAAAAAATCATTAATTAATTGTAATTTTTTTCGCAGAAGCTCTTTATCGTCTTCTATGGGTATATATGATTCGGATAAAGTGTGAAAGTAATTCAGCAACACAAAGTCGTCTACAAAGTATCGTAAATTCGTTGTTTCCAAAAGGCTCGAAAGCCGTAGTGCCTCGTGATACACCTCTCAATATCTTCGTAAAAATTATTCAATTTATAGCACAAGAAAGATTGGATTTTGCGATGCGTGAGATTGTCTTTGATTTACTTTCCGTTGGTCGACCTGTTAAAATTATTCTTACCCCCGAACGTATGAGCATTGGTTTGCGTGCATTTCTCGTTGTTGCTGACAGTCTCCAGCAAAAGGAAGGTGAACCACCAATGCCAAGAACTATGGGTGTTCTACCAAGTGGAAATACAATGCGTGTGAAAAAAACATATTTAAACAAGGTTGGTAGAATGTTGGTGGAACTGTTATTCAGGAATAAAATTTAATTATTGATAAATTATAAATTAATAAATTAAAATTAATAAATAAATGATAAATTGATAAAGTATTAAAAATTAGTATTCAATTTTATGAAAACATTACCTATGTATTTATATTAAAATTGTTAATACGAATTACGTTTGATTCTTTCCATTCAAATTATTAAATGGGATGATTGTTTATATTAATTTCGAACAATTTGCAAATAATTTAGAAATTTGTAATTTGGAAGTTAATGTTTTATATAATATATTTTTATAATAATAATGTCTGTAAATCATTGTAAAAATTAAACATTTTTTAGTTTCAAATTAATGTTTACATTAATTTACAATTAATTTACAAATTACCTAAATTAATGTTTGATTAATAACAGTACTGTTTCTTGCTATTATTTTGGAAAAAATAAAAAATAAGCTAAAATTTGAAAAGCAATAAATAATATAATTTAATTGCTAAAGATGGAAAATTATTTATATTTGTAAATATATTTGTAAAAATAGTTTTATTATAAATGAAATATCTTTTATATGCAGATGCTGACGGAGGATACGGCAAGGAGCATTGGTATGTCCTCGTATTTTCCTCATGTACGACGTGTTTTCGTGGATATCCTGCGAGCTCTTGATGCACACTATGGACGACCCCTCATGATGACGAGTACACAAAACATGAATAAGGAACCCGATGAGATGATTACTGGCGAGCGTAAGCCGCGCATTGATTTGTTTCGTACGTGTGTGGCTGCAGTACCGCGTCTTATACCTGACGGGATGACTGGACCCGAACTCGTTGACATGCTCGCGCGACTCACTGTTCACATGGATGAGGAATTGAGAGGCCTAGCTTATCAGAGCTTGCAGACACTTGTTCTTGATTTTCCAGATTGGCGACAGGATGTCATACTTGGATTCACACAGTTTTTAGCTCGAGATGTACAGGTAAGTTATTTTTAAATGGAGATAAAAACTATTAAAGAAGTGGTTTTCTTGATAATAATTTATTAAATATTCAAATTTTTAATAACTATGATATTAAGAAATAGTTATACTTCTTCAGGACACATTTTCTCAATTACTTGATAATGGGTTACGTATGTTATTGCAATTGCTGACTTGTTGGAAAAATGCTTTGGTGAATCCAAGCACTAAAACAAAGGAACAGCCGGTCGATAGCATGAGATTGAACAATCGGATAATCGTCGATGTTGGACTAAAGAAAAACGAAGTTGCAAATCAGAAAGTTGAATCTGTTCCAAACGTTTTTCATCTTGTGGAAGGTTTTTCTCTTGTAATGCTTTGTAATTGTCGATTATATCCTCGACGTCTAGCCGTTCACATTTTAAGGGAAATCAAACTTTTACTAAAAACATTTGGTAATTTTCTTGAATAGTATTTCATTTTCAAATAAAGTAAAAAATAATCATAGATTTACATTAAATCATTAATTTAAATTAAATGTACATGAATAGCTATTTATATAGAATTATTTCTACATTTATAAAAGCGAAGAATTCGTTTTTAATAATAATATATATAAATTAAAATTTGACATTTTTACTCACGATTTTTATTTTAACAATTTGAGTAAAACAATTTATATTCTTAATTTATATGTTTTAGCTAGTTTAGAAGATGATCAACCAGTAATTGATGTAATTGACGCTTACTGCCCATCAGTTTTAGAGAAGTATTATTATATGCTTCCACCTGCAGAAAAGGCAGCTGCTGCTTCAACATCAATTATTGATTTACAATGGATTGCAGATAGAAGCAGTTGTGTCTGGACAGCTGGTGAATTAATCTTCTTCTTCTATTTTTATAAATGATTATATTAACTTTATTGATTAATATCATTTAAATTTTTAGGATTCCATGATGAAAATAGCTCTAAAAGCTCTTCATTATTAAATTTAAATGGAGTTGATCCATGGAGTAGTTGCTTATTTACATTTTTAGAAAAAGATAGAGTTTTAACACAGTGTCCAAATGCTATTGCTCATTCATGGCCTATAGTTTTCAGTCGTATAAATTCTTTATTTACTGTTATTGATCCTACGTAAGCATTTATTGATTGTGTAAAACAGTTTATAATAGAATATGTCGTTGTATTTGACTTAATTGAAAATTCATGAATATAATTAGGCTCATTATCCTGATATAAATATTTCATTTAATAATATTTAGTAATGATTTTCAACAAACTCTTTTATTTCTTACTATTTCAGACCTGTAAATGATAATAGAGCATCGCTATTGCGAAGTTCTACAGCCATTCGTAAACCATTAAACGAAAGAGATGTTTACATGCATGTTTGGAAGAATTATTTAACTTTTGGTTATCGTGTTATACCTCCCATTCCAAGCCCAATAATTCGTTGTGCGAGTCCAGATCTAAGTTTAAGGTAAAAATATGTATTTGAGCTTATACGTCGTACAATTGCTTCTAATACATAATTTTGTTTAATAATGAACTCGTTTAATTCTAAAAAATATAGAATTTGTAGTGTTTTGATAGACTGGTTATATTATACAAAATCGAAACCCATAACTTAATTGTCTTTTTATTGAAATCAATTTCATAGCTGTAGCTATGACATTATATTTTTATTTAATTTTTCTAAATTTATTTTGATTTCTGGCTTTATTTAATAATTCTTTTTATATCACTAATAAGTTATTATTTTTATATGCATTTTTGTATTATAATTACATTCTTTTGTTAAACTTTGTTTTTCAAATAAAGTTTATAAATAATATTCTGTGTTGTATAATTTAATTTGGAAAGTGTGTAACATTTTTTATTGTATTGTAGAATAAAAAAATTTATCAGATGCTTTTGGCTTGAAACATAAGTATAATTATTGATAAAAGCAAAGAAAATTAATTTTGTGCAGAAGGAGAATTTTATAATAATAAAAATCAGTAATATAGTATAGAATCATAAAATTTATATAATATTCAAAAGAAATGTATTTTTACAAAATTATTTTATAATCTGTAAAATAATTTAAAATCATACATTAAATATTGACAAAATATTTGTTTAATATATACACATACTGAAAATATTTTTAAAAAGTTCTTTTGATTAAAAACATTTTTATATAATTACGTAGTTATTTCTTTAATCATTGGTTAAATAACCATTATAAATTATTTATTAGTCATAAAAAAATATATTTCTATTAGAATCTAATGCAAATATGAAATAAATGTACTATGAAAAATATTTAAAAAGTAATTTTGGAATAAGTAAACAAATGTATATTATAAAATTCTTATTATGCAGATTTACCTATAGACAAATATATTTATTTGGCACTATTATTTATAACTACCACTTTTTATTAACACTGCATGATAATCGTGTTTGTTTCATTTTTATTTATCGTTAACATTTTTCACTAATAATGAGATTAGGCTTAATTGGAAAAAATATGCTATGATTTTATTATGAAAATTGCTTTATATTAATTAATTACTTGAGGTTGCATATCTTAGATTTTATAATTTAAATACTATTCAATTATTATCGGAAAACTTTTATTGATAGACGTTTTTACAAAACTGAATTTATTTACAAATATTAGTAAATGATTATATAACTATAAAATAAGTGACAGAAATTGCATCTGAAACTATAATAGAGAAAAAATTTTTATTTTTCGTAAATCAAATCATTTTTTTAAACGTACATATTAGTGTAACATTATCATAATAAAATTGTTCAACTGTTAAGAGTGATCTATTGATTATAATCAGAAAAAGTTGAACGATTCTCGTAGTACACTGTAATGCATACTCTAAATATAGTGGTCAACATACGGTGGAGTTTGGTGTATTGTGCATGAGTAAGGAGTTAAGTCAGAGCCTGGAGAACCTCGGTGGGGCACAAACCCTACCGAGCCGCTTTTCCGTACCGTCCATATCCGGAATCTACACGAAGCATAAACGGACAAGGTGAGCTCTAACTAATTGAGACAAAACATTGATGCAACTTCAAAGAGGGGGGAGGAATAGCCTTCCATAAAAAATGCACATCATTTTTAAGAGTAGAGTATTCTTAGATTATATACAACACACATAGCGTACTTTATTAAAGTACTCAAATAGAAAAATAAGGTCTTATTTTTTAGAATTTTGAAAAATTGTCCTATATTAATTTATTAATATTATAACAAATAATTTAACAGCTTTTAACCATTAATTATAGCACTTTAAATCAATATGAAAGTAAAAGTATTACATATTGTACATATTTCTAAAATTTAGATTTATTATAATTAATACTATTTTTATAGATTAAATTTAATTAAATCATAAATTTTTCATATTTTTCAATTTATGAAATATATTCGTTCCAATTATGAATTAAAATTTTGTATCATAACATAATGAATTCTTCAAATTTGATTGAATACATTAAATATAAGATTTTGAGTTTGAAAACTTATCGGTGTATTTATAATTAAATATATAATAATTAAATGAATCTTAGTCAATATAACAAATGAATTTTTATGTGAAGACATGAGTGTATTTTTTTGCATAAATTGAATAATTATTAAATTGATAAATGAAAGATTTATTATAATTTTATAAAAAATGGAATTAAAATATACTACAATAAATGGTTTTACTGTTGCTAATATACATGTAAATTAAATGTATTAAATTAATTTTATTAAATTCATATAATCTTATTTATTTTAAGATATTTTTAATTTAAAATTATCATTAAAGTTATCTATTTAAAGTTGTACTATATTATGTATTTACAGTTATGTGATTAATATAATTATACTTAAATTGCATGATTATATATTTATTTTATCAATTTAGGATGCCATTAGTAGAACTGCATATTGTAGATCTTTGTACGTGGTTTATGCAATTCTTTATTATTTAATGGCAATTTTACCATTATTCTTATACGTTTTATATAATTTTGTCTATAAAATGAAAATATATAAATGTATAAAATACATTATCATTAATGATTTGAAAATTTTTAATTATTTATCATAAATTTATTAGTAAACGAGTAAAATTTTTAAATAATTAAGATATAATTTTCTTATCATTATTTTTAATTAAATACTTAAATATTTTCAAGCTCATCTATATTTAAAAAAAATATTTATATTTTAGAAAAAGATCTTTTTTATAATTTATTTAAAAATTGAATCAATCTAATTAAAAATTTATTTAATTATCTAAAATGATTGACTTTTTATAAATATTTATTTTTAATTTTGTTTTATATTTGGATAATGAAAAGACAATGTTTTATCAATAGTATGCATCTTGAATTAATACCATAAAATTGAAAACAGATATTTCTTTTAGAAAACTCATCATTTTGCACCTTTTTATTTTTCTGAAAATCTGGATTCTGCTAAAACTCTAATGCATATTTTTTAATTGATAACAGACCTCTTTTATTTTTAAAAAGCAAAACTTAATAAAGTTTTTTGCTAAAAGTTTTTGTCCTTTATTTTTCAGTTCATCTCCGGACAGTTTATCGGCAGAACGAGGTGACAATAAAGCACCCGGAACAAACGCAAATCCATCCGCATTTTACAAGTTAACGGTTCCGTTGTTAAGATGTGAAACTATTGATGTACGTGATGCTGCCGTTTATGCAATTGGGAAAGTGAATGCTGATGCACTCAAGTAAAATATAGTTTACTTTAAATGATATATTATATTTATATATTTATCTTTTTTACATTTTTGTAAATTAAAAATATATATTTTTTTAAGATTTAATGAAAAGTTTTTCCTTAAATAAAAAAACAATAGACTCTATTTTTTTAGAATAGTAATAAATATATAAAAAGTTTATTATTACCTTTAAAAAGTCAATTATTATTAATTTACAGAATTTAATATTAATCTATTGGATTATTGTGTCCATGTTGCCTATCTATTCGTAAGCACATTTAAAAAAAAAACTATAAATTGTTATAGTTTAGTTCCTTTATAATAAAAACAAAATGACAGTTTGATATTTTTGACTACTCATAATAAAAATAAACAAAATTGTATGACTACAAAAAACTAATTTTATTTCATTATGCATTGCATAATAATATTTTTAATGTAAAAATTTTAATGCACACCCGTGCACACACTTATACATGCACATACATAGTGTATTGAATATATTCTATGTATTTTAATAATAAAAGAAATATAATAAATAATTGCAGGGATTTGATGGAAGAACTGGTACCTTATATTCGCGAAGCTGTTGACCGCAAGCAAGAAAATATGAGGCGACGTAGAAGGCGTGATGCATTAAGGCTTCAGCTAGTGCGTCTGTTAGAATTAATTGCTGAATATGGAACTTTCGGAATTTGGTAAAAATTTTGTTGGAAAATTTGTTTACGAATTATATTATATAATCAATATTTTATAAAGAAAATAACTAGTTCATTTTTTCTTATACTATAATAACCACTGAATTTTAATATTTCTAATTTAACTAATTGAATTTTGCATTATTCATAATTTAATATAACCGTTAAACGACTAAATAATTTATTATGTGGTATTACTTAAATTAGCAACTTATTTTTAAATATTTAAATTACATATAGTTAGGTTATTGATAATACCAATTTAATTAAAGAGTTAAAATTTAATAATATTTAATAAATAGTATTACATGCAATAATTTATTAACAAACATACTAAAGTTTCCAAATTATTGGACAACATAATATCGTAATAAATTATTCCGAATAAGCTTATTAATAATTAATTATTTCATTCATTATAAAATTAATATGTTATACAAAAGGAAAAGTTTCAAAATTGTTTAGCAGAATTGATTAAATATCCTTATGACTTTAAGAAAGTATCAATTTTGAAAAGTGTCATGGTAAATTTCATGAAAATTGTATCATTCTGTTTACAAATTATAATAGTTTTACAGTAGTGTTTTTCAAAGATAAAAAATAGTTACATAATGTTATCCAAAGCGATTAAAGATGTAATAATTGTATGGAAAGATTGACTGTTTTTTTTTTTTTAATACATGTCACATATTATTTATCAATTATGTATTTATTATGTGTCAATTAAAATAGAACAACACCAATAAGAGTCGTGGACAGTATTATTAGATTGTTTGAATGTAGAAATTACAAAAACCGCATCCATTTATAAAGAAGTATTCTTTCATTAAAACAATGCATCAATTCATACATCCATTTAATTAAAAAATGAATCTAAAAACCAAAATGTAGATTGCTAAATTATGAATATGTTCTTGATCTATTCTCGAATGACTATTATTTATTTTTTACTAGAATTGGAACCTCTAATGTCATAATCAAATGTATTGAAAAAAATTAATTTTTTTAATAAATTTTCACGATTTTATTTATTGCTACGTGGGTCTTTTCATCATATATAGTATATGTAATAAGGACATGCAATAAAATAAATGAACCTTTTTAAAAACTATTTTTATATTTACAGTCCTGCTGTATTGGATCGAGAAACACAATCTCTTCATCCTACATTTGTAGAATATATAGATGGTGCTCGTTTATATCTAGAAAATGAAACTGACAAAGAAGCTCCAGCAGTAAGAGATATTAAATTACATTTTTGTAATTTTATACGAAAAATGCTCAAGAGTTTTTCATGTAAGGTTATAATTCATTTAAAAATAAAAAATTTAAATTATTCTGTTTTAATATTAATATTTGAGATAATCAGTTATAGTTAAATTACTTAAAGCTTTATTTGTAAGCTTCTAAATCTCATATCATTTTAATTATATAAAATAGCCTTAATGTATAGAAAAAGTTCACTAAAAATTGACTATAAATAACTAATTATTATGAGGAGGATAATTAAAATTAATTACATTTGCATATTGAGTAATAAATATAAATAACTATTGGTTATCTATTAAAATTTATCATTTGTCATTTGAATTAAAAAAACAATGTATTTCGTTATTATGTAATAAAAAAATTATTTCTGTAAAAATTGATTCGTTACGCTTACTAATTTAATTCTTATAAATAATTATAAAATTGTCTTTATATTTGTCTTTATAAATAATAGTGGAAGTCTGTCACACACTGCTAAAACGTGATTTGCGACGCAACCTCTTTACACTATTTGCTAGTTGGGCTGGATCATACGGCAAACCCTTAACGAGTACCACTCTTGCTTATGAAGAAGAGAAATTCTCTGACCTACAAATGTCAGCCCTTCAGGCAATGAGCGGTCTGTTATGCTGTGGACCTTGTTTCAATGCCCAGAGTTTGTCTGAAGAAGGCTCAATACTCTATCAATGGCTAGATCTTTTGTTGGCAAGCGATGATGAAAAAGTAAATATTATGATATTGTGATGAAATTTAAGAAAAGTTATGTTACTAATCAGATGGATGTAAGTTGTGATGGAATAAGTGGTAATAATTAGATAAGATGAATAGTATTGAATAAGCAGTATTATCTTATTTATAATTAGTAATAATAGCTATCATTATCCAAAGAGTAGATTGGTTTTTTGATATATATATATATATATATATATATATATATATGATACAGAGGGAAAATAAATACCTATCGAAAATATAGAAAATTATAACATTATATTTTAGAATTAAAAAATATTTATGACTAACTTACTTTACTTTTTCTACGCTAGATATATAGCCTTGCTTGCGAAACAATTGTATTACTGCTCGAAGGTAATCCTGATATTGGTGCGCTTCTCGATTGGGTCGTTGATCGCTGTTATACAGGTTTGCCCCAAGTAGCAGATGGTTGTTTTCTCGCACTAGCAACTATTTTCAGTGCTCGGTAAGCCATATTTAAGAAGTTTATTAATAAATTTTTACTTCCATATAATAAATAATATTTTAAAAGTAAAACTATTAAATATTATTTTTAATAAATAAAAATACTAAATTTTTAATTCAAATAATTATTCAAATTTGGTTTTTTGGAAATTCATAGAACAACAATAAAAATTGTTACATTAAATTAATAATTAATTATAAATTCTTAAATTATATAATATTACACAGTTTATTTTATGAAAATAATTATAATTTTAAGCATTATTTAAAATAATTATTAATAGTCTCTTAACATTATTGAATAGTACAAATGTTAAATTTTTATCTCGTATATTTTATATAACACGAAAATTATTTTATCGTTATTAAGCTTGAAAATAAATTTTTCCTAGTTATAAAAGAAATTTATATATATTTTATGAAATAATTACTGTAGCTGTTTACCTAATGTTGGCATTTAAATAAATAAACAATGTCTGTAAATCTGTTTCTTGTTATGTATAATTATAATTAACTTTTTGAAATTATTATTTACAGTTGATTTTTATTTTCTCAGTTAATTAAGTATTTAAACTGAAATTACAAGAGCATGACCTTTACAAATTATTATAAGGTCTTATAGCAGTATATTTATTATCTAATGAATTATAAATAATCCTATAATATATTATGAGATTATATTATTATTTACCGTATCCTTATAGCATCATTTCAATCATATCTCGTTTGCATTTTGTACTTATGGACATAGCATTGTAATAGTGGTTATTGCAATGAAAATAATGTCTTACACATATTGTGTACACACAATTATATTATAAGGATAATAAAATCGTTTTAATTAGGAATGACCTTTGTAGTCGCATGTATTAATATGAATGGAATATAAAGAATTTTATAACTTATTAATCATTTTATAACTTAATAAAAATTACATACTTATATTATAGTTTCATTAGAATAAAAAAGATTTTAAAATAATAAAATTGAAAGTATGAAACCAGTTTCTCTTCTTCGAACTTTTATCACTATTTCAGTATATAATGATTTTATGTACAGCTTCATATTATAAATCATAGTAGGGTGCAAATATTTCTGTTTTAGCCTATAAAACTATAATATAAGTATGTAATTTTTATCGAATAAAAATATAAGTATACATAATTTAGCATCATCAAGATTCTATATCTAGATTAATAAGTTATAAAATTTTTTATATTCCATTGCAATATATAAATTAAATGGTATTTATATATAGTCATTTTAAGAGCAAGTATTATATTAGTCGCAAAATATGATATGCTTGTATTAACTTATAATATATATTAACGAAAGTTTTTCAAACATTAGTAATGTTAGAATAATACATGCTATATTATAATCTATTCAAATTGTACATTATCAGTTCATTTTAAGATATGTATTTAAGAATATAAATATTATTGTTGTTTTACCATGCAGATATAAATGATATGTAGAAAAAATTTCTGAGAAGTTGAGATGCAATCAACAAAAAAATTTAAATATAATTTAAAAATAATATAAAAAATTGTTAATTCTTTAAATATTTGTGTGTGTGTGTGTGTAATTGATATAAAAAATTTATAGAAACATAATAAAATGTAGTAATAAATCTTAGTCAAATATAGTATATTTACCTGTTTAACAAGTTTCAATTAAAAAATAGAAAACTAATAAATATTTGAAATTATTCATAAGGCTATATTTTTAAAACATCTTTTTTAAGAACATTAAATTATAAAAACACAAATTTTATTATCAAAATTATTATAAGTATATTTGAAATATAATTGATTATAATTAATGAAATAACATAATTGCATTATTAAAATTGAATATCTTATTGTAAGTAAATTGATCGGAAATTATTCGAATTTTTATGTATACATTTTAATTAAAATTACGCCAAGTGATTGCAATATTTTCAATAAAATGGTCTATTGTGATATTTATGATATTGCAAAATCCATTCATTACAGACATGTACAAAAAGTATTTCTTATTTTATTTATATGCATGTTATAAATCCGAAAATTATTTAATAATCAAGTGTATAAAATTCAAGTAATATTTTTATTAAAGACACCTTTTAAAATATAATTGTTTGTTATTTGTTAATTTATGTTAAAAATTCGAAATATTTATAAATATACAATATTTATAGACTAAAATTTTGGTGCGTACACAGATACATATATGGATAAATACAAGTAATTTTAATTCTATTATTAAATCTTAATAGGGATATGTTTATAAAGCAATTAAAATATAAGGCAAAATATATTTTATTATTTATATTCACACTGAATAAATTTTGTCGTTAAATAATAATAGCAATAAATTATTTAACTAATATAATTTAATTACAGATTTTCCTTTAAGATATATCTATTTTAAAATTAAACATTTTTCAACTTTTTATGTAATATCTTTGTTGCTCATATTTATTTTATTGCAAGAAACTTATAAAATAATTCTTATACTTTTACTTAGTTAATTCATATAATATTTCTGTATATATTACTATAGCGAATATCCCTGTGATCATTACACAAGTATCATCAATGTGACACTTATGAACACCGGTTGTCCTCGAGCTTCGGTGCATGACGCTGCTCTTCAACTACTACAATTGTTGGATCAGCGGTTCTTTGGCAATGTTCGGTCAATACCAGTCTCGGATTCTGATATTGGTAAATTATGAATTTTATTCTATATATTAATTGCACGGCATTCTTTATAGAGAACCTCTAAGTATAGTCAAATGATAATACTAAAAGCTCAATTATTTTAAATCGTCTTTTGTTACCGAATTCAACCAATTAAATTAACTTTCAACTCTCTTAATATCTTAATGTTAACTAATATCGTATATTTTGTTTTTTTGTGAGAAATTTTAAATATAATGTATTATAAAAAAAAATCAGTAAAAAAAGAACTAAAAAAAGAACTTTAACATATCAGCATTCACTATTTAAAATTTTTTGTTGGTAAATGAAGAAATTTAATAATACGAGATTAAATAGTAATTTAATATTTATTTGTAATGATTGGAAAGTGAATTTCAATGTCATTTATGTTATCAAATATAAAAAAACTGTTGTTATTTCTAATCTGATCAATAGATATTAATAGTTAAAATTAGTAATTATTTTTATTTAATGGTATCTCAGCATTTAGTTGTTGGATTAAACACTTTTATTTTGTTATCTTGAAATTTTATTTTTATTTCACGTAATATATAATACTATTAAAATTTCTTTTTGAAAATTTATGATGTTTAATTTGTATAAATAATAATTTTATAGATAAGAAATAAAATCTAATAAATTAAATACGAATTATCTACACTATAAATGTATTTGAAAATTGAACTTTATATTTCTATTATAAAATATGTGATTAGAATGACATTCGAAAATGTACAACGTTATAAATTAAATTCAAATGAACTTCAAGAAAACTTCATTTGCATGTATGACTTATAATAGTTTTGAAAAATTTTATATTGTGAAAAATATTTTTGGTGCATATAATACATTAGTTGTACGAAATTTGTTCAATAATATAAATTATGCAATAATTTGATATGTAGTTAAATATATATTAAATGAGTAAAATCTGAAAATATTACTGTGTAAGTACTTTCAATTAGATCAGCTGTCGTTATAATGTTTTAAATAAAACATTTTTATTATAATAAATCTAAAATATGGTATCTGTTATATAGAAGATGAACTCCATAGTTTTTAAACTGTATAATATTGTATGCTCAGTGTATAAAACTTATTTTCGAAGTTCGCGATACCATTGTTATCATTGATTACATGTATATGATGAAGTACACATTATATTATGAATATTCCATCATTTAACTAACTCGTGTAATTTTAGTCACAAGCAAGAATTACACTTCTCTCTTATGTGCGTCTGTGAATGTTGATAACACTACGTAAGATATACAATGAATAAGTTAAATTTTGTTGTTTATAATACAAGAGGATCCGACAATTTCTGTAACAACAAATACGGCGGGTGTTGCTGCGGTTATTCCTGGCACCGGCTCAGCATCCACGACAACGGTGCAACCAGGACCATGCATTGCTTTACGTGGTGGTACTTTAAATGCTTTACTCACTACAACTTACTGTCGTAACCAAAAGTATTTATCGCGGCAACTGGCTCAACTGCACCCTGAACTTACGATGCCCATGTTTAGCGGTAAGTTGGATTTTCACGGTAAAACTGGATTTGTATTTCAAAAATACAAGCTTGCATAAATTATTTTAGATAAATGTCCTATTAATTAAAATTATTTATTAAATTAAAGAGCATTGTTGTGCAATATATTTGCTTCTAATGTTTGAATTTGATAGGTTCATTTTATTTTGACTGTTGAAGTAATAGAATGATTGATTTTGAATATAAAAGAATATTGTTATGCATCAAGCCCAGAATATACTGAATTGCAATAATTCTTAATTATTTTTAAACAATTCAATAAAAAAATTTCCTTATTATATTTTATCCTTCATACTATATATATATATGCTTTTATTTTAGATTGCATATTTTTAAATTTTACTTACAAATTGTATGAGAGTTATTTTTAAGTCTTAAAATTTTCGAAATAGTAATTATATAAATTTTAATAATTATTAAATTAAAAAAATAAGTACATTTTAATAAGTAACTCTTAACATATAAAATATATACAAATATCATCATATTTTAAATCAAAAGTAAATTTCTTATTGTTTCCATATATGCTATCTATTAATAATAATTAATTAAAACATTTGATAAATGTTAAAAAATATACTGAATATTTGCAGATAAAATCTCCAATAAAATATAATATTATAAGTACCTATTAGTTTTGATAATAAAAACTGATAAAATTGACGGAAATATAATTTATTATTTCGGAAAAATATTTATTATTTTGAATATGAGTATATGATACTACAAATAAAATTTTTACCAATTTAATTTTTATATTATAAATAGTTTTGTATCTCAATATTATTAATTTTATGATTACAGAAATTACTCACAGATTCCAGGCAGCACGTCAGGAAGTACGCCAACTGCTGTTACAATATTTACTACCATGGTTACATAATATGGAACTCGTTGATCCTAATGTACCACCACTTTTAACTCCTCTTAGTTACTATCAGGTAAATTTTTTACACTACATTATTCTCAATATTTTATTTTTGTTTTTTTTTTGATGTTATAAACTCGTTGTATGTTTGTGTATATGTTAGAACAATTTTATAATTAAATAAAATTTTGAATCACTTTCTTTTCTTATTTTATTTTATTTTTTATCACATACTAAATACTGTTACTCGTTGATTAGGCTGTATTTTTATAAACATCAAATGTACAATCTAAATTTTAAAAAATTTTAAAAAGAAGAAAAATTTTAAAAAGAAAAATTTTAAAGAATTTTAAAAAAGACAATGATTGATTATTAAAAAATATTACGAAATTGCTAATGAACTTCTACATGCATTTTATTCAAGTTAAAATTATACATATAATTTTTTTATTAAGTTGTATAAATATAGCTTTTTATTTCTTTAAGTATTATATTTAATAAAAGTAAGATATAGAAGTGTAGAATTAATTCTATTTATTTAATCTATGCTTCTGATACATTTCATCATATTTATATAATATAAAACTTTTGAATAATTGTAGTCTTATGAAAATGGCGTAACACATGGAAGCTCAAGACGCGAAGGCTGGGGTAGTGTCGAAGCTACAGAAATGGTCCTTAACAATTTGTTTTATATAACAGCTAAGGTAAATTTCTTAATTTCTGCCTTAAATTTTTATTTTTTTGTAATTCAAGAGAAAATCTTAATTTTTTATCCTCATTGTACTTCGGTTGAAAACATCTTTCATTTTATTAAAATAGGAAGCTATAAATATCACACCAAAAAAAATTTGATGTTAATTTATGATTTAAAGATTTAATTATTTTCAGAAATATAAAGAAAAAATTTCGCAAATATTTATTTGTATTGAAAATTTTTAAAATAATAATATCTTTTAATTTAATATCAACATTCATAAATCGTTAAAGAATAAATATTGAATTAGAAACTAGTTTCATATCGCTATTTATGTTTATTGAGTGAAGGAAAAAAATATAGATTTATAATAGTATTTTGATATCTAATTAATGTAATAACTATTAATTAATATAGTAAGTATTTGAATTCAGTTTTTCAATTTCTTGCTGATGTCATATGAATAAATGTTCATGTATATTAGTTTGTAATAAATCGATTTTAGGTTTTTTCTAATATACACATGGATAATTGCATAATTTTAATTGAAAACATTGTTTACTTAAATATGTGTTTTGAAAGATTTTAAGTCCAATGATTAACAATTAAGTTTCGAAACAAGAAAAAAAGTAGAAATATATTTATATTAACGAATCTAAAAGTGAAAATATACTAACATTAATAGGCTGCGTATGCACACAGCATAGTTTTTAGTATAATACGAAACATTTTTAAAAGTTAGATTTTAAAGTTTAAACTTAGATAAATGACGATTATCATATATATACATGACTGTTCGAGAATGTAGAAAACTCCCAACTCATTAGGCATCTGGGAGTTCTCGACTACTCGAGGAATCAACATTCAAACGCGCCTCGCATTAATTAAATCTAAACAATTCAGCAAAACTTCGAATATCGAAAGAAAATACAATTCATAAACACATCTGGCGAGAACAAAGGTCCAAGTGTTCAGCAAAAAGCCGTCATAAAACTAATGCTATGAGACATTTGATACGGCCTCGCCACAAAGCATCTATCGACGACAGGTCATAATACTTTTGGCATAATCAAGTCATAAAAATATAAGCAAAAACCACCTCGTCTTACATCCGTAAAAGGGATATTAAAGGCAATACTGCACGCATACGTTGTTGTCAAACCCAGCTACACGTGGCTCGGACAGTGAAGCGAGAACATGCCAAAGAAGTCTCCCTCATGGTGGGGATGCAAGTAAGAAGCGCTCTAATTGGAGTCGCCAATAATGAAAGAATCAATTCGATTGGAGACGCCCAGAAAGAGGCGCTCTGATTGGAAATTCATAAGGACCACGCGGTAGCCGAGAATGCCTTTAAGAAAGACGCCGACAAGGCGCACGATAGTCACTTCTCACCAGAGAATTGCCGGTAAGGCTTCTTCTCCAAGGGAACGCCAAATAACAAGGATGTAGACACACATTAAAGGCCGATTAAAAGGCAAAGCCTAGTCATATCCAACTCAGAACAAGTGCAAGATAAGTGCAAATTCAAATCATACACTCGCAGCAGTGCAAGACAAGGAAAAAGGAACAAGTAAACAGTGGCGCACAAGGCACAACATAATCACAACCTATAAGGAGCCGTTCGAGGCAAACTCAACAATAAGAGGCATAGCCAGAAAAACACAAAACATAACCTACAAGCTGCCGCACGAGGCACAACCTGCAGACATCACTAGCTGCCATCAAGAGCACAAAATCTGCAGAGCTTACAAGGTAAAAGTTTCATTCCTTAATAACGATAATAATACACAATATGCCTCACAAGGTAAGGAACTGTAGAGCGACCAAGCTCACACAATCTGCAAACGCATAAGGGGCAAGTTTAGCTCCCACAAGAAAGACTTACGAGGCGCTGTACGCAGCAATACCTGCAGACTAAGATGAAGTGCCACCAAAAGCGCACTTGCAGAGCCTTCAACGTAAGTAATAAGACAATACCAAGGCAAATTCAAGCTACTGCCACGTGCCACTGTACAAGGAAGCACAGGGATTTACGACCTTGTTCTTCTACGTGTATAACACCACCACCACATGCATTACATATAGAGGACTAGAAGGCTACGCCCTTCTATCTGTACATGCAACGCACATTACAGCTCTGTGGCAATAGCAATACAAAACTCAAGAAACGAAGACATTCAAGCACAAACTAAAAATTATTACACTACACTAATGCAATTATCGCAATAAACTAAAACAAATACCAAATCTATTTATTATTGAATACATGCACTATCCTGTCCACTTGCCTGTCCTGTCCCTTCTACTATCTGAGAGTTTACACCTAACTGTAGATATTTGGCCCTCCTAGCCCGGTACTCTATTTTTAGACAATGACATTGAAATAAAAATTATAAGAACGCATGTTAGAAGTATGTTTATAATTGATTGTTTTGCAGTTCTCAGACGAGCACCCAAAGGAAATCGAAGAGTTATGGGCAACTCTATGCAGTTGTTGGCCAAACAATTTGAAAGTAATCATTCGATACCTCTTCATCATGTCAGGCATGGCCCCGCAGGAACTTCTACCATATGTGAATATGCATTCGTATTGGAATTTTCATGCTGATGTTATCAGTATAAAATTCATATCTACACTCCTTCTACCAAACTCCCGCTCGACTATTCCCTTGCTGTAGATCTATTACTAGAGTTTTTTACATTATAGAAAGTACGTAGTTATAGAGAGCATAATCTCCATTGTAAATGAATGGTATAATACATAATACAACTTGAGCTTAAACAAAATATTTTGAAGAAAATAACTATCAATTTTAAGTAATAAATAAAATGTATAAATATTTTCTGTAATCATTTTTATTTTACATTTTATAACAATAAATATTAATTGTAGAGCATTAAACTGCAAAATTTAAATGAAATATTTCTAAAAATTAAAGCCACTTAAATGATTTATATTATATGATCTAATTTTATTGTAAGTACAAAATAAATGAGATATATCTTTATTGTCTAATGGACTAAAGTTAAATACAGTCAAGTGCGTTAATCATGTTTTTATTACTTCTACAATTCATAACAAATTAAGGACAATAGTTATTTATCAATATATTTATACATATATATATAATTTATACATATTTTAAATTGGATCCGATTACTTTCAATACACTTATTCAATTAACAGTTATTACTATCGAATAGTTAGTTGACTTAGCTATTTGTTTATAAGGCTATATTTTCACATTTATATTGTTATATTATTTTTTAATATGTATCAAAATTGATTATTCTTGATTTTTTAAACATTGAAATAAAGTTTTTAAAGCAAATAAAAAAGAATTTTTCAAGATTATAATTTACGCAAAACTGAAATCAACTTGATTTATAACAAGTTTTAATCTATGTTTTCAAATAAAGTAGAGATATTAAAATATTATTTTAATAGATAATGACTATCAATGATCTGAATTATTCAATGCTATAAACTACAAATTTGCTTGCAGTATATTGGTAAAAACGTCTTATAACGAAATAAATTGTGGATGACTATTTTATGATTTTTCTTATATCGTTTATAAGTAATATATAATAATACATATTCAATAATAATTTAAGTAGTGTTCAGAGTAAAAAGCTTGATATCATAATCAATATAAAGATATTTTTTATATAGATTATAAAACGTAACAATTTAGATATAGTTTAAAAGTTTTAGACTAGTTAATATTTAATTTATATTTAATAGTGGATACCAACCTGTTATTGTTAGTTTTGGTACTATTTTCGGTGGCATTTACAGGCTAAACGCGTGGCATTGTATTTGGCTCGTGCTCGATCCGATCGTCTTGTTGATGAAATGATGATAGAATTGCAAACAGTAGAAACGCTTAATTGTCTTATTGAGAGGATGGAAACACCACCATTTTACCGGTTAACGAGTATGCGTAAAACTTCCTCACATAGTGATGCACCGGCTGCAGATCCTGGTAATCCAACTAAAGATTTGGGTGTTGAGAAAGGTACTATACACACCAAACGGCACTCCGGAGAGGATCCAATAAAAACCGGGTAAATTAACAACTTAATTATATACCAGATCATTATATTATTTAAAAATATCTTAATTATTATATCATTTTGGATTGAAAATTTTTAAAATTATTAACTACAACTATTCTGAATTTCTTTTAATATTATGATAAGAGTACAATTATTTAAAGTTCAATTTAAAAAAAAAAACAATCATCAAGATGTTCAGTTAAAATTTTTTAATGAAACACTCATAGTGATATAATAAAATAAAAGTTATCTTAAAAAACAATAAAATCTATCGTCAAAGCTTATTTAAATTAACAATTAATAAAAAACTTTAATCGTATAATTAATATCATTAATAATTATTAATCTATTATTTAAAAATATGTAAGTATAAAGATATATATTGTATATTATTTAAAAACTCAGTGCCTTGTTTTCGAAATGATGCAAACATGTAATACTTTGTAAATTATATTATAAATACTTTCATATTACTGGAATAAAGACAATGCGTAATCGTAAATATTAAATTATTAATTATTATAATTATAATTAAAATTAAAATAAAAAATGCTTATTTCTAGAGTTTCTAAGTCAGATACTGCTTTGCGTAGTGCAACTGGTTTTCCTAACACTCGGACGGAAAAATCACACGCTACTAGTGGCCCATCTCTTCTCCCTGATGAACTTTCTACTCCTATGACGGAAGCGGAGGTAAGCATTTGATATTAAAATTCCCACATACTCATCCATGCTCTAATCAATATTTTAATATGCACCTTTACAGTTCTTTGATTTTCAGTTAACATCTGAAGATGCTTTCTATATACGTAATGTGCCCGTAGTATTCAATGGGCGACCAGTTATCAATATTGGTGAGAAGCTCGACGTACCTCAACCTCATCCTCTACCAATGCCCGAGTACGGCGGGTACTTCGCCCCACTAACCGAATACCTGCCCGACAGCTCACAGCCAATTAGCAGCTTTCACAGGTATAATTTGATAACAGTTATTAGATATATAAAAAATAAGTATTATATACTATTTAAACAGCACAGATAATTATGTATTTACTTTTAATTTGCGTTATTGTATTTATTTGCGAATAAAATATTATTTTGTACTTGATAGTTAACATTAACTCTATGTATTTTATTTCGTTATTAAACCTATATTTTATGAAAATCAAATAGTTACGAATATAAGATTTGGCTTTAATATGATAAAAGTTTTGACAAATATTTCAATAAATAAATTTCATTTCAGATTAAAATTGTAATAAACTTTACACTACGTAAGAGAATACATTATAATTATAAAATAACTAATCTCATCTTTTTTTAAATTTTTTAAATAAAACATTGATCAATTGAAATAGAATAAAATTTTCGCGAAAATAAAATATTAAATATATATTAATTATCAGAAACGAAATTTTGATCCTGTTAACAAAATAATTGTTTTATAACATAGAAACATTTCATTTTAGATGCAACATAGCAGTGATGCTGTTGATTGACGTTGTTATTGATGGTATCCAACTTGACTGGGCCATCCATGTGCCACTGATGCTTCACATTATTTTTCTCGGACTAGACCACTCGCGACTCATAGTACGTGATCATTGTCGCCTTTTACTTCTTAACATGCTTGTTGTCCTTGGTGATCATCGTGATCATCTCGGAATTGCTCGTGTCCTTCTTGCAAATAAGACAGACCTGTTAGATTTTGGGCTTTCAACACCCCTTCTACCAGTGCTTGAACATAATTTTACCGAGGATGATCCAGAGTTTGATAGTTACCTATATGGACCACCATCTTCATATCCGTCACCATCAACAAATATCAATAATACGTAAGTACAAATACAAAATTTTCAGACTAAATCTGTAATAATTGCAAATTTGTGAAAATTTTACGCAAAATAATATGTAATTTTATTAAAGAATGCTTTGTAATAAATAAACCATTTTAATTTATATAAGGCAATTATTCATTATCTGACTATAAATGTGTTATAAATAAAAAGATCATAAAAAAATTGAGAATGTATATAATAAAATGTTGTTCACAAATTCAGGTAGAATTATTATACTCAATTGTATATTTACTGGAACATTTACAGTTTATTAAAAATGTTAATTCTAATTAAAAAAATATTATTTGCATTTAAATTTTAACAAATCTGACGTATTTTGAAATAAATTAAAATGATAAAACCGTATTCAGAAAAACTTGATACTTCGTATTTTTAGCGCCCTTAAAATTTAAAATAAAGAATTAAATATATTCTGAATGCCAAATACAGACAAATAAATATTCAAAACATAAAAATTTACTTTTGAAAGTATAAAAGAATTACTCGTTTTCAAATTATTATATATGTTATAAAAATGTTTATATAATGTTACTATTAATAATAACACATCAATGATAACAAATGTTTATAAATAAAATTTTAGTTTAAGTGTTTTTTTTTGTTTGAAATCTTTAAAATGAAAATTTTGTATTTCTCTGTAGCAATAAGAGCTCTTGAACAAAAAAGTTTAATAGAGTACAAAAATAAGTGCTCCAACTACATTTTAATTTTAATTATTCAATTTTAATTCTTTTTCTTCATGATAAGAATTGTAGTATCAACGTCACCACATTCCCAATCACCATTGCCTCCGTGTACACCATCCTCATCACCTCCACCATCACCGCCATTACCTCCTCCGCCACTGTCAATACCCTTGACTGAAACATCGTCCTCGCCCACGCTTTCGTCATCGCAATCATCGTCCTCCAACAATGTCAGCCCGGTACATTCGCCCGTAAACGCAGGGATCACACCACCTGTGTATTCCTATGGTGAGTTATATTTTAAAATTTTTTAAAAGTTATATTATGGTTTAAAACAAAATTTTATTTTAAAAAGCATTTATAATATAAATATTAAAAGAATCTTTCCTTTCTCGACGGATTATATTATTATTCTATATTTAATTCAAGAAATATATGTTGTAATATAAATTTGAGAAAAATTTTAGTGATAAATTTTTTAATTAAAAATTTGCAAAAAAAAATTTGGAGGCGCCGGGTATCGATCCCGGTACCTCTCGCATGCTAAGCGAGCGCTCTACCATCTGAGCTACGCCCCCTTGTAAAAATTCCTAATTGGTTTTATATTTTCATTGCAAATCAAAATCGTTTATATTATAAAAATACTAAAATTTTGAAAATAGTTTCAATTTTTACGCTATGATTATATTGTTTTTATTTTAATGCTATTCTAATATATACACATAAAATTAATACACTATTTATATTTGTTCTTACAAATATTTTAATCGAATGAAAGCATATGATCATGTTTCATTGATAACTTACATTATTCTTATTCAATTATTATTTATTATTTATTATTATATAATTTATTAACATTTATTAAAATTATTTCATTAGAATTTTATATATCTAAATCTACTAAATATATAATAATTTATCTTATCAGACATTAATTTTTGCAAATAGAGTACGTTTAATAAAATAAAAAATAGATATAAAAGTTAAATTTTTATAAATTATTTTATTTAAACAATTTTATATTCAATCGAAAATAAAAGTTATTTGAAAAATTGAAAATGTATTTCTCAAACTTTTAAATCAACAATTATTACACGTGCATATTATTACAGTTTTAAATAATTTTCCTTGTATTTAACGTGATACCTATAAAATAATAAAAATAATGCACCAAAAATCACGCAATATTTGACATACAGTCCAATTTCACCCAGTATAGTTATATATATATATATATAAATTTTATCTAATAATCCTTCTCCTTTTTTCTCTTACGAAAAAGAGGTACGAAATAAAAAGATTCTATAAATGATTGAAATTAGGTTCAAGTGAAAATATTTGATGAATATTACAGGAAATGAAAACTAGGAATAAAGAATTTTTATCTTCTACTCTAACTGTGATATTAACTCTGTCAGTGATGATTCGTTATTAAAAAAATGACTACACAAATAACTAAAAAAAATTATGCCCTCTTGAAATTATCTACTTAAACCGATATTACTAGTTCAATAATAAATTAATTTTTAGAATTAAATCAACCCCAAACTACTCACATAGATAATAATCAATCAGAAATGAAATAATTAAATTCTTTTAACAAAAGTATAGTATATAAAATATTCCCTAACTTCGAAAAATTTACCGCTCTTTTTCAAATTGGAACAACTTTAATTTCATCTTTAAAATCAAAGGATGTAATACAAATAGTTTTTTCAAAATTACTTCAGGTACTTTTCATTTTATTTACGTACTCAATTTGGCATTAATGATTAGCACCACTAATAATTTACTGGTTTTAGATATTTTAGTAATAAACTGTAAATAGTGAAGTTATTAACTTAATATCATTTTATAACTTATAGTGAATAGACTATCTTTAAATGGTGCCATATTAAAAGTGAAGTATAAATAACTCATCAGCGCTCATTACAGACGAATTGTTCCTTCTATACAAATAGCCTTGACTAATATAGTAAAGTTATTGTCAGGAAAGGCTAATCTCACTTGTTTAGAATTCTATTCATCCGGCTCGAAGGACCAAATGTCTAGAATTAGACTATGGCCACAGTTACCTGGTAGGAGAAAAGGTGCGGGCGCGTGGAAGGGATAGCGCATTAATTTAATATTTAACACATTTGTTTTTCGTGCTGTTTATTGCGTTTTACTTTACAAACTATACAATAATGATTCTAAGTTGGCGATGAAAATCATTGAGATCTTGCAGTTCAGTGGTTGTTGCCATGTGGCTTTAGCGTGCAGTACTTGCAGAGGTAGGAGGTCGTAAATCCCCGGAACCTATGGATGTAGTGTGCTTGGTCGTAAATTATTACAATGAGAAGAGATCGTAAATCTCTTGACACTTCTTCGTATAACCTTGTGCTAGACAAACTACGGGAAATGAAACCATTGGCTGTGTAGTTACCGACTACTTCGATATGTACCGTATCCATGCTTAGTGGACGTGACATGCCGATCTCTCCCGGCTACCATTTCGTGCACTCGGGCACTGTACGTGGGGGTCACAGTCCGCCTCTAGTTGATAAATGTTGATCTCTCCCTGCTATCACCTCACTTGAATATTTCTCGAACTGAATTATACATGATCACTGCACCTTGAATTATTCTTTCCACACCTTTTCAATGCCGTTATCTTGTTGAATGCGCACATGAAACTGAAAACGTGTTCCTTCCGTGGCGGCTCTGCTGAGTGAGCCTGGGTTTGAGTCGTTTGGTGATGCGGTCATTTTCAACTGAGACTGAGGTGAGCGCATCCTCTGGAGGACTCCATTGTAATCCGAGTAATTTGGTTGTATAATCGTTAAATGCAAGTGATAATTCCTGTTTTTTCTCTGCATTGATAGCGGTGAGGACATCTAAATGAGTTGAATGCCTTTTATCCAATGGGAAACCCCCGCCATGCAGAGGTTTTGTAATTGTATTGCGGTTTCAGTTGGCTGTTGCGGCGTGTCTGCACCTCTAAGATGTCATCGAAATATCTGCCATGAGTGATGGATGGCAGTGTCAAGGGGTACTTTTCTCCCTCGTCTTCTATCAGTTGCAGCAATGTTCTGACTGATAAAAATAGAGCGACTCTTGTGTCACAGGTAACCGTTGTTAGGTGGTATGGCACTTGCTTTGTTCGTCAATCCAAAAGATTCTCAATCAAAAGATGTCCTTATGAACTTGTATTTGCAAAAAGATGTCGAAATCGGTGGATTCAGATTAACAGGTCTGAAATTTCTGGGTTCAAATTGGCACCAGTGTGGATAATATCATTAATGGACTGTCCAGAAGTAGATGCACCGGAGCCGTTGAACACCACTCTTAACCTTGTGGTCGCGCTATATGATTTAAGTATGTCGTGATGTGACAAATAGTAAGTAGATGGTGGGAAACTGGAAAGGCTCTCTTCATGTGTTTAGGTTCCTCATATTTCGTATTGTTAACAATGTTGATGATAAGTTTCGTCTCTTGAGAATCGTCTTATTAACCTTGCAGGCAGCGATGGGCACTGTTGTGAGAATCACCGAGAACTTCAAAAGATTTTTTTGAGTGGGATCTGGACTATGTATCTCCCTGTTGAGTCACGCGAATAAGTCCCTTTAAAATGCTCTTCACGCCATTACTCATCAGACGTGCATCGACGATCGTTGGCCTTTGGACTTCTTATTACACCCAAAATCTTGTCAATAGCTCTTGCAAAGTATTCTCAACTTCCTGTGTTGCCGTGTTAATATTACTTACATCAAACTATTTACCACATTGACAGACCCAAGTACTAGCCATCCAAAAATGGAGAATTGAGCTATTGGCATGCATTGAGAATACTTGATAATGTTGGTCCTTATTATCTGTCCATATGCGACTGCTCCAAGAACAATGTACACCGGTCTTGCTGTAAGATATTCAGGATCGGCTAGCGTAATGTTTCTCAGTTGCGGTAATACCTGGCGTGAAGTTTCAAATGATGGAAACATCGTAGTCAATGACTTGAGGATATGAGCTAGAACTGTGACTGAAGAGCTGGTATGATTTGATTGAAGAACGAGTAATACAGCAGCTTGTGCCTTAGTTGATAGAGATCCTCCTATTCCATGGATGAGGATGACGGACCGTTGACGATATATATTAAGCCCTATAACTAAATTCTCGCTTACGAGCGTCATTTTGGAGTCCTGTATCGATTAGAAAAGGAGCTTATAACGTTGGCGATGGTTAGCTTATTTTTACCAATGCAGTGGCCAACAGGGTTTTCGTAGATAATCTACTCGGTGGAGTGATTGCACTATCTTTTTAGTTGGAGGGTGTTGATGAACTACTACTTGCTTGGATTGGAGTTGCGTTTTGTTCTTCATCTAGTAGTGTGTGATGCCGTTTTTTACAATTCGTACAATTTTGTTTGTTTCTGCATACGTAAATGTAGTCGTCCCCTGAGCAATTGTAGCACAGATGTCTTTTACTTATGAAATCCTTTCTTTCAGCAATCAGCATTTCATTGTATCTTGAACATATGATCGCCAAATGTTCCTGTAAGCAGTAGTCGCATAGCTTGTTATGCTTTGAGCTTTCTTGTGGGCCGTTCAATTCAGTCATTTATGGCCACTGGTAAGCTCTCACCGATTTCTTCTTTGATGGATGAGACTGGGCCGGGCTTCTTGAAGTTATAACTTCTTCTATGTTTTCTAGAGCCCTTACTCGAGGCATTAAGAATGTCTTAAGTCGTTCAAACTAGGGGTAGGAGGTGGAGCCGCCTAGTGAGCCTTCCCTTGCTTGGTTTGGTTTAATCCTCGATGTAGCTTACTGATCATTGATCGTACAAATGAGTATTGCTTGAGTTCTTCTCCTAGTGTGTCTTTCGTGAAATATTCATGTTTTTTTAACGCTATTGGCCATGTTAACGCAAGATAGTTGTGCTCCTTATAAAAGGTCTTGTCTACGTATTCAACCATTTCCTTTATGCCTAGGACTTCTTCAATGGATGTGTCCAAATGAAATGAAGGGAGCTATCTCTTTTATTGTTTCGATATGATTCCACTGACTGTGAGCTTTCAAAAGTCCAGTGACTACTCGTTGTGTAGCGACGCTGCGAATTATACATTCTTCCCTTTATTGTGCAATCGGCACTTCAGGAATTGGCATTTCCTTAATAGTGATGTAGTATGAGAAAAGAACAACAACGGAATACTTATAGCGTTGAGAAGATTCTTATGCATTGTGACGCAGTACTGTGTGTCCTTATGATAGGACTGCAATGTTGCGATGGTATATGATCTGAGGGTTTATCCGACTCAATAGACCAAAATGTTTAGAATTCCATTCATTCGGATTGAAGGACCAAATGTCTAGAATTAGATTATGGTCACTAGTTGCCTGGTGGGAGAAAAAGTGCGGGCGCGTGGAAGGGATAGCGCATTAATTCAATATTTAACACATTTGTTTTTTGTGCTGTTTATTATTACATTTTACTTTACTAACTATACAATAATGATTCTAAGTTAGTAATGAAAATCGTTGAGATCTTGCAGTTCCGTGGTGGTTGCCACTAGGCGTTAGCATGCACTACATGCAGAAGTAGGAAGTCGTAAATCTCCGGATCCTATTAGCGTAGTGTGCTTGTTGGTAAATTATTACACTAAGAGTATTACAGTAAGAGGTCGTAAATCTCTTGACATTTCTTCGTATAGTGCCACGTGATGGTAGCATGTTGTGGTGTCCTCACTGAAAAGGCCAGAGATAGTGTTGTGCTAAATGCACTACTATTAGAACGGCCCTTGTTGGCCTTGTGCTAGACGCACTATTATTGGAAGGACCGTAGACGGCCTTCGTGTCACTTCCGTATGAGATGCTATTGTTACTTACAGGAATGCACTTGCCTTACCTGGTCCTGCGATGAAGAATGCCTTAATATCGTGCTTCTTGTAGTCGTATACTTGTAGTCTTCCGTGTATTCTTACGTGTAGTCTTGTAATGGCTTCATTGCGTTAGCGTAACTGATTGACTAGCTTATAGCTTTAAACTCTGGCTGAATGACTTAATTACAATGAGCAACTACGAGCCAGTTGAATACGCACAAGAAGCTGAAGGCGTGTTTATTGCGTGGCGGATCTGCTAAGAGATAGCAACTGTTCCATGGCGGTCTTGCTAAGGCAGACTGTGTTTCGTACCATGGCGTCTTCACTGGAAGAGAGTTTCACTGAGAGAGAGCGAGGCTCGGCGCGTGCTTGCTTTATATATCTACGTGACAAATTAGATAGATGGCAACAATGGATAAATGTTGCTATGCAGAGACTAGACTAACTTGCAAACGTTCGCGAATATAACTTTTTTATTCACCCAATATCTTTATATTTGTAAAGCCGCATATTAAAATTAATTAAATATTATATACCATGATTCATCGAAGATTACTGTATCTGAATTATCACTCATTTTGTAATTTTCTGTATTTAAAATATATAGTAAATGTCTCTATTTAACTATTTATATTGTTTTTATTCACTAATTATTAAATTTTGTGATAATTTTTATCGAATCTTTTATCAAATTCCCTAAATTTCTATTTTTATATACTTAACTTTGTATATAATTTAATCTGTTGTTTTAAGTTTTTAAATTTTAATGTAATTTTTCTTAGAAGCTTAAGAAATTAATCAAATATATATTAATATTATAAGTTTATTTTTAGATTCATCTTGTCAACATGGAAATTGGCCTACAGGTACGAGAATGGCCACCGTTGCACCACCTGTTATTGTTACTCGTGAAGATGGAGGAAATTGGACTGGACCTCAACCTGGCTCAAATATGTTAATTCAAGATGTGATCAAATCATTAATACATTTTCTTGCATCGAGGTAATCGCTATTGCAAGATAATATTGTACATCAAATATCAGGTTTTGCAATTTCCATTCTATACAAATTAATTAAAAATATTTTGCTAATAAATTGTAATTAATGTACTTTAATTTTATAATTTTTAATTTTATGCATAAATTTCAAATTTTTAAATACATTTTAGAATATTACGATCCATTTTTTAGTAAAGGATTTAAAAATGAATTTATTTTTACCTTAAAAATATTAAATACTTGTGTGATACACGTAATAATAAATAATATTATTTTATCTTATCTTTTTTATAACAATTTATAATTTAATAATTATTATATATACTATTTAAAATTAATCGATCTTAATTAATAGGTATAATAAAATCTATTTATGTTTTTAAAAAATATTTAATATTTTATAGTATTATGATCAAATAAAAATATCATTATAACTAAATTTCATTAGAAATTAAATTATTGATTGTCAAAAGATCTACAATAGCTAACATGAAGACATATTCTCTTAGACATAAATAATTTTTTCCTCTAATTTATTCTGTTATACATTTTCAACAATAATCTTGTATAATTTTCGTATTTTATATCTATATTTTTATATTAAATTAACTTATCATTAAAAATTTTAAAGAAAAATTAAGGAAACATTAAACATTACAAATAATGTTTCAGAGTTAATCAACCTTTATGGAACTATGAAGATATGACGGCCAAAGTTTGGTGGGTACGAAGTGCTGAGCAATTGACTATCCTACTTCGTCATGTGCTTAAGATATTCCGTGATTCATTACCGCATGCTCTGGTGAGTCAACGTTGGGCTCAAACTGCTTTACAATTGGGCCTGTCTTGCTCATCTCGACACTATGCTGGAAGATCACTCCAGGTGTTTCGAGCTCTTAGGGTTCCGATAACCTGTCGTATGCTTTCCGATATTTTATCCAGACTCATAGAAACCATTGCAGAACAAGGAGAAGATATGCAGGTATCATATTATTTGTTGCAAATAGTAAACTTTAAATTATATTGTAAATAAGTAACTTTGAAAAGTAAACATTTAATTATGAATTTTGTTTACTTTTTTATTCTTATTGTGACTACAAAAAATAAGTTATTTCAAAATTATAAAATTTTAATGTTAAATAAAAATGCATTTGTTTTTTGCAATTTCACTAAAACTTTGAATTTTCAATAATTTACTTTCTTTAATAAATAAGCTTGAAGTAATAAATACATTAATTTATCTAATAATTCATATCGATTATTATATACATCTCTTTATTTCAAATCTGTGTTAGATTTTCTTCTATAAAATTATAAAAAACTTCTAATTATATATTACTTCCACTCTTTTATTCACTTACATAAGATATCAATACACCATTCTAAATTCCCTCCTCCTGTAGAACCGTCATTTAATAATAATATGTGTCAACTGTATATAATATATTATTCAAGACAGATACTACATTCGTTGTAACAGAAATTAATTTCAATTACAAATCATTTCAATAATTATTTCATTATTTATTTTATAATAGTTTATAGTACAATAATATTAATCACATAAAATTGAAAAATAGCTTTAAAACATACATAAGAAGTGTATTCGCATTTCTTTCGAAGTATATTAAGTATATAATAATTTTCAACCTTTCTAATATAAAAGTCGTGTAATGTAAGTTGTACAATAGAAATCAATTCAATACATAAATACTATTATTTAAACTAGGGCTACGTTACTGAGCTTCTGTTAACACTCGAGGCTGCAGTTGACTCCCTTGAATCCGATTTTCGGCCGTTGGATTTTATGAAAGAGATCTTCAAATCAACACCAAATTTGAATAATAAAGACGCGGTGACAAGCTTAACAAAGCGATGTTCAACGGGCACAACGGGATATTATCCTTCTGGGCCACAAATTTTTTCTTTTTTGAATCAGCAAGGCCATATTCGTAGTACCAGCTACTCGGTTAGTTATTCTATGCGAAAATCGACGGCAGCTAATACAACTGTTAGTGAAACTAAAGGTATAATAAATTATTTTTATTTACTATTATTCAATTAAATTATTATATATTACTTGGATCTATATAACATTTATGTGAGTATAAAATATGTCATAAATAAATAATTAAAGAATAGCTTCCTCTAAGTAAATATAAATTGATAAAATTATTAAATTTTTTCACAAAAATAAAACTTAAATGTATTGAATTATGTCATAGTGCTAGATTCAATAACATTTACTCAATTTTCTTGCTCAATATCGTTTGCTTTATTGGTATGCGAGCAACCGATGTCAGCATGGACATATTAGCTTTAACTTAACAAAAATGTTTATTTGAAAAATAATATTGAATTACAAATATTGATTTGTTAAATTGTTTCAGAAAAAGCATTACACAGAAATATTTGTAATATTAGCTGTATTTACAAATATTGCAAAAGCATTGATTACGAATCCATAATGAAAGAAGAAATTTTTAATTAAATATCAAAATTATTTATGTATAATTACTCATTATTTGCTAATAGTTCTTGTAGTTATAGCATTATACACCAAAGTATATTATTAATAGTAGTACCAAGTATATTATTAATTTGAATGAAAATGTTTATAATAATTAGATGAATAGTAAGTAAGAGATTGTTTTACAGAATTAGAAAATCGCATAGGAGGCATTAAATACACAAATTCAAGTCTTTCTCGCTCTCGTTCGGCTCAATCTCTAAAACTCCTTGGTGATTCCGCAACTCAGGATGATAAAATGACAATACTAGCGCAACTGTTCTGGTTATCTGTATCTCTCCTTGAATCAGACTACGAACACGAATTTCTCTTGGCTCTACGACTTCTCGATCGAGTACTACATCGACTTCCTTTAGATCGCCCGGATGCTCGCGATAAAGTTGAAAAACTTCAACAGCAGTTAAAGTGGACGTCATTTCCCGGTGTACACGCTCTATTGCTTAAGGTTAATTTAATTGCTTTAATAATTATTATATTCTAATTTTGAAACATTTAAATTTAAATTATTTAGATAGTATAGCAATACTTAGTAAACAATGTTTAAATAGAATTAAATTCATTTAAATTTCATCTAAATTCATAATAATTGATTACTCACTATTTTTTATTTTAGGGATGTACGAGTCCAAATACATATGAAGCAGTAGTAGCATTGTTGTCACAATTTACTTTATTGCTGGATTTACCGGTAGTGGATCCGACACAAAGTTTGGCCTTTCCGATGAATGTAGTTTCATTACTGCCGTATATGTTACTGAATTATGAAGATGCAAATGAGTTATGCATCAGAAGCGCTGAGAACATTGCTCAGGTAATCTCTAAAACAAATATGTGTGTGTACGTCTTTTCATAATTCATACTCCTAAAATTAATTTTAATTTTATCAGTTACCTTAATATTTATATTATATACATTTTTTAAATATTATAGTTGAAAAACTATTATTTATATGATTTTCTATAATTTAATTAATGAATTTTTATGTAAAGTATACTCAAAATACAAAGATTTACAGTGTAATTTATAATCATATTTTTATTAATATTTTATTTATTTATAACAATTTTAATATATTTCTGCTACTGCTTTTATTTTATATTACTACTATAAAAAACGTTTTCTAAAAGTTTTGATGATAAACTAAGGTAAATTTGTCCTAAATATTAGTAATCCAATTATTGTTTTTTCATATAACAATTTTTAAAATATTCAGATTCAAAAAATTTCATAAGAAATATTCAGTCTGTAAAGAATAAGAGCGAATTTAATATTTTGTCAAAATTTCATTTGTTTAAAAAAAATTTATTTATTTTTTATAACAAATATTTTCTCATTAATATTAATAAACATTTCATATTATTTTATTTTATACTTTATAAATGTGAGAATAAAAATTTCTAATAAATTTCATTTCAATTACATATTTTTTAGAAAAAAATTTTTATTATTTTTACACAAAAACATATATATTAAAAAAATGATTATGATGAAATATTTTTAAAGTAACTTATTAAATATGTTCATTTGAAGTAGTTAATATACTGAAAATAAATGAGTTGAAATCATTTTAATTCTTTTTATGATTTTACAAACCTTTAATATAATCTGTATAGCATTTTAAAAATAGTAAATCTATATTTTTATATATTTATTATTATTATTTATTTACTTAGATATTTATTAATTCATTAATTTTGTTACTCATACATCCTTTACGTATCTTTTAGATAAGTGGAGAAAAAGGAAAGAAACTAGAGAACTTGGGAACAGTAATGACTTTATATAGCCGTCGCACCTTTAGCAAAGAAAGTTTCCAATGGACAAAATGTGTTGTTAAGTATCTATATGATACTTATGCTCATCTTAGTTTAAATATGCTCGCATTTCTTATCGAAGTTTTAGAAAAGGGCCCACCTAACATTGATTTACCAATACTGAGCATTATTCACTGTATGTTGCATTATATGGATATTTCATCCCAAGGAGCACAAGCCACCAATACAGAATTACTTAGAGTCATATCAAAATATATCGAGGTTTTTATATTGATGTATTCTTAAAAACGATTATTAATACAATATGATTATTATAATTAATAGATAAATACTGTAGATTATAAATACTAGATAAAATGTTGAAAGTACATCTGTATGATTATAAAAAGTGGATATATTAAACATTTCATTTTACTATACCTTAACTACAATGAAACGATTATAACATAATAAATGATAAATTAGATGAATATAATTAAACAAAACTATTTTTGTACATTGATTTTTGTTAATTTCTATAATAATATTTTTATAAATTTTTTTTATTTTAAAATAATTTATTTTTATTTTTTTCAGGGTCCATATTGGAAAGAATCTTTGAAAATTTTGAAACTTGTGGTAACTAGATCATCAACATTAGTAGCACCACCAACAAATATTCATGCCTCAACCTGGGAATCTTCAATTGCTTCGCCACATCCAAGTTTTAATGACAATGAAATTTTTACCAAAAAAGAATTACCTGGTATGATTTATTACTCATTTAATCAAATTTATTTGTCGTTTTAATTAATGCGTTGTAATTTTTTATTAAAATAAAATAGCTTTTATGAAACTAGTATAGAATATTACTAACAAACTCTAAATTAAATAATCTACTATTAAATTACTATTTGTATGGTAGTATATACAATAAATTTATTCATTGTGTATTGAATATAAGAAGGAATTTACTTATTGTTAAATATTATATTTTTAAAAATTATTTATTTATTATGATATTTTTGTTTATTAAGCTAGTATTTTTTTCCATGGAAAAAACTGATAGATTATTATAAAAATATTAATAAATTTGATTATAAAATATTATATTTGTAATGCAAACATATTTCAGTTTGAAGATTAAGCATCATTAGTATTAATCTTTATTATTACCATAAACAGGTAGAACTATGGATTTTACATTTGATCTATCACAAACACCAGTTATAGGTAAGCGTTGGCTTATACGACAAATAAATGAAGAAAAAAATGCCACTTTACTACAAAGATCTATATCATTATCTCCAGCAGATAATGGCCCTATTTCTGGTTGGAAGAGACCATGGATGTCTCAAGTAAGCGAAGAAAGCAATAAATTGTATTTTTTTTTAAATCTAGTTTTTTATTAAAATAATTTTTTCAGAATATATAATACAAAACAATTAATATATATACATCTCATTAAAAAATATTTATTATATGTTTTAAAGTAAAATTGATTTAACTAGAAAATAAATTTTTTTTAAAGTTTCTTTCATTAAGATGTATATTATAATTAAAATAATTGTAAATATTAATTTCCAATAAATATAAGTATTTTTGTTACAGAGTCGAGTAAGAGAATGTTTAGTGAATTTATTGACAACTTGTGGTCAACGAGTTGGATTACCAAAGAGTCCATCTGTAAGTTTCTTTTAAATATATAATTAATTCTTTAGATGTAACAATTCGTTATGTTTTTATGATTTGATTTTATCTGGATAGTCAAGTAACATAAATTTGCAGGGTAAAAAAATTTATTTTGTCCTGGACTCACTCTACTGCTGTATTTAAGATGAATGCATTCAATAATATTGTAAATTAAATAAAATTTTCTGAAAAAAGTTAGAAAAGACATATCTATATAACTTATTTTACAAAAAATATTGTCTCCAATTACGTTACAATAATATTGACCAATCAATAATTTTATGCAAGATCACAAAATCATCCTATAAGAATTATATTATTTTTAATTAATATTATATAATTGGATTGATGTTTAATTCTATATTAATTACAATAAAATAAAATTACAACAATGATATTGTTAAAGATATCTTTAGATGAATTATTTACTTATATTTTTCATTTATTTTACAATGAAGAAAGATATTTATTCTGATCTAAAATAAATGTGAATCTTTTTTTTATCTTATGACATTGTATTAGAAACATATATTTAAAAATTTTAATTCATTCATAAGTAATTTTTAGAAAGTGATATTATACATATTGATATTAAAATTAACCTTTACAACAAAAATTACGTATAGTACATGTACTAAAATAATCTAAAATAATTGTTTGCAGTGCTAATTTAATTATTTAAATAATTTTATTTGAATTATGTTTTTTAATTTTATAGGTGATATTTAGTCAAAGTTCAGATTTAATGGAGAGGCAATCATCAATGGCCTCATCTACAGAAGAAGTTTCTGGTGCAAATAATGATCTAAGTGGAGGATCACGACGAGATGAAGACCAGTTTGGTGTATTTAAAGACTTTGACTTTCTGGAATATGAAAGTGAAAGTGTTGAGGTATTATTTTGATTATATTTTTTTAATACCAATCGTTTTATAAATAAATTATAAGTAGTATGTGTAATCAAATATAGGTACAAATATCTTAATTGTCCATATTTAATTTTTGTAATAAAAGTATAAGTTATTTAAATTTACATTCCATGAATTTACATTTTTTGCATCTACATTAGTTTAAATACATTTGGTATGGTTCCATATTTAAAGCAACATTGGTGAAAAGTAGATTAAATAATAAGTTAATAAAATAAACAGTGCTAAGCACAGAAAAGAAAAATTAGACATGCATTATATATATTAATTTATGTAGTACATTTAGATATAGACACAGTAGTGCTATTATCAATCAAAATAAAACGAATTCAAACGCTTCTTAAATAACCCAATCCTATATCTAAATATACATAATTTATCAAATACGTTAGACCAACTTGTAAATGTATATGTATGAATATTAATACATGGCTGAATGATAAAGTATTAAACCTATATGTATATTTAGTTCATTTAAATGCATTTGTAAATGACAGTGAGAAAAATATAAATGAAAAAAGACAATACATAAGAAGAATGTTGGTTGGATTAGTCAAAGCTTGTCAAAACTGTTTTATATCGTAAAGATGATTATTGTAATCATCTTTTAATATATCAGTTTTTATCATTCAAAATTATAATAAAAATCAATGAAAAGATGTTTAACATCGTCTTACGTATTTTAAAAATAGTTAAAATTCATCTGTACTTAAACATGTGTGTAAGATATAACTTCTTGAATCTTCCTGAGCTCAAATATTTTGAAAATCTTCTAAACAAAAAATTGTTACTATATTTAATAATTAATAGATATAATATTATAGATGCAAACAGTGAATATCAATATTTTTGTCTATTTTTTCCAATTCACTAATTTAATATTGTATATTTTTCCGATTAATGTTCTTTTTGTTCTTATCTAAATACTCATTCTTTCTGTAAAAATATAGTACAGCATATATATGTATTAAAATGTTTTATTTGCGTTTCTTAGAAAATATCATTAAGCAATAAATACGTTACATTTTTATTCATTTTAAAGTAATAGATACAAATATTTAAAAAAATTTCTTACATATTTTTTTATTAATAAAAATAATTTGATCTGCATTTACCAAATTAAAAATTTTTTTTTGAGTAGTAAAGATGATTTTTGAAAAAATGAATTCAAAAGTAAATTATATAAATTTATAGAAAAATAAATTTTATAATTATATATTTAAATTCAGGGCGAAAGTACAGACAACTTTAATTGGGGTGTTAGACGTCGTCCTCTTAGTGAAGGAGAAGAACGAGAACCAAGTCTGCGAATATTTGAAGAAAGTCTTAGTGAAAAAACAGTTTCTTCAAACAAACAAATTATTCAAGTGAGCAAAAATTGTATAAATAAAAATAATTTAATTATCATTGAACAAATAATTCAATTTAATTACATAAGCTTTATATTTTTAACACAAATATTAGAATTTTCAGTTAATTGTATTTGTTTAGTAAAAAATCATTCTATTTGAAATTAAATAAGTTATATAGATTTATTAAATACATTAAACGAACACATATTCTAATTTTTGTATTTTAAAATATTGGAATTGAATAGAATGATTTCAAAATTTTAACAGCGTGGAGTCGCTGAAGAGTCCTCAGATGATGAAATTGGTTCGGAATCACCATTAGATGAAGTTCCAAATGGACAAGGAACTAGACAAGAGGCTAATATTCCTAGTATTTTTCCAACGCCTACATTGTCATTAATACCAAGTCGAAATCGATGTGATTCTTCAACAAGATCTGATACTTCGTGAGTTTATTGTGGAGATTATAATTTTTTTTTAATGTCATTAGATTATTAACAGATTTTTATTAACGGATAGATTATTATTAATATTTTTAAATAAATATTTTATAGTGGTTCAAGTACTGGAGATTTGGGTGATGTAACACCATGCAATGTATCACCAAATCTGTCAACATTAATCACTTTCAAACAAATAGTTCGTGATGATGCTGAAGAAATCTGGAAGCAACAAATACAAAATTTAATAGCGCAGAATCCTTGCAATCCTTTAGATGTTTTTCAGCTTCTTAGTAAAATTTTGAAAGTAAGTGTACATAATTTACATTTTTATCGATGTTTATGATTTGAAGAATTTGTAATTTTAATTATTACTAACAACTTATTTTTCTTAATATAATTAAATTAACTTGGTGTTATGAAGTATAAATCATATACTGTCAATTTAAATTCTAAATTAAATAAATTTTTTAAAGTTAGGATGTTTTATTATAGGATGTTTGTGGTAAATCTGTTGGGCTTACTCGTGAAGCAGTTTCTCTACTGAACAGTGGGAGTGCAGTTTCTGTACAATTAGCAGCGCATTTATTTAGCCACATTGAATTATTAGTTTCGAAATCTGAGCTGCCCATTGTATGGTTTGCTTCTCCAGTTTTTGCTAATCAAAGACTATATGAAATCTTGAGATTTGGATTACTGGAGATTCAGGAACATCTTGAAACCTTCTTAGATAAAAAAGATCACGCTTATGAGGTACTTCACATTTTCAAATTAAAATTTGTATGGTATACTTGTTTAACTGAAATATATATAAAAAAGTAACAAATAATAAGTAAAATTCATAAATTAACATTGATCTCAGTAAATTGTGTTCAATAAATTGTCAATAGATATTATTGTATTTTATTTTACAGTATCTGGAAACCATGAAAACAGTAAATAAACTTAATTCTCTTGAAGAATCAAATTCACATACAGTGAATAGTCTTGAGGAAATGTTTCTTGACCTTGGTCGTGCTCATTACAAACTTCATTTTCAACTTCTACTGCTTATTGAAGCATCAAACAAAATGCTCTGTGCCCTTACTAGTGCAGCAAAAAATTCACAAGAGAGTCTTCAAGATATGTCTGCAGAAATTGCGAGTATGCGGCAGTCTCTAACTCGATCCCTCGAGACAGCCAGTATTGAAGGGGATAGAGGCACACAAACACCCAGTCCTAGCCAATTACCAGAGGTAGTTAATATAATTAAAAATCTACCTTTGATAATATATTAAATTTAAATATTTTATGTGTGAATATACTGAATGGGTATGTATGTGTATATACATATTAAACAACTATAATCGTTAATGAAATAACGTAAATTGTATTAGAAATAATCCATTGATTACCAAATAAGAAAATAATTCAAGAAATATTTTTAATTAAATTTTGTTTACATTATTTTTGTAAAGTGTAATGCTGTGTGGTAATTTTGTATGAGAGTCAATTGAAATAAATGAGTAATTATTACACGTGATGCAGGATGCTCTATTCTTCAGGAATTCACATAGATTAAACACCAATTTTGTTGAAGCTAGACTCAAAATTCGAATGAATAAGTCACACAGAATTTTTAAATTGTTTTGCATAGCATATATATACGTATTTCACACTACACGGTTTAAAATAAACAACTTTCCCACATACGATAATAAAAAATCGTGTATATTCAGAAATACATTATAAGTAAAGTTCTAGTTCCGCTGGTGTTTTCTTTTATATCGTTGCAAAAAACAAATTTTTTAATTTGTTAACAGAGGTTTTATCACTATGATGCTTATGTACGCGCTTGTACTACTCAGTATAATAAAAAGTTCGTGTAAACAAAATAATTACATATAATTAATGGAACTGTAATAATTATATAAGTATCTATCATTATAACTTAATATTTTTGAGTATAATATCGTTTAACTATTTTAAATTCGAAATCAAATGAAATTAACCTATTTATTAATTAAAAGTTTTGTTTAATATTATACATTATTATTAATAAGTTAATACAATGATTGTTTAAAATCGAAAATTTGAATCCTTAAATAATTTTTATATTTAAATAATACTTTGATATATTTATAGGTTGGAAATAGTAGCTGTGGAAATGAAGAACTGACAAGAGTAGCTGAATTACTTAAAGCCGGTAAATGGACTAGCGCCCTAGAAATCGTTAGAGTACAGAGAGCTCAATGGATCAATGATCCTTTTCATGATGACGATGACGTCACTATCGCTGTCAACATATTCTGCAGGCATCTTGGCCAAAATAGAACTGGTAAGAATATTGAAGAGTATGTTAAAAAAATTATTGATTTTATCTTGTATAACAATATTCGAACTACTATTCTTAATTGTCAATTACATTTTTTTTATTACCGATGTATTGTTTTTTATTGGAAAATACGAACAACTGATTTAATGATTAGTTTCAGTCAATTATTGTTTCTATTATGAATAAAATAAAAAATTCCGCTTTTTGTAAATTACTTTAAATATATTTCAAATAGATAATAATTTTAAGGAGTAAGCAATCTCTTTAACAATGCTTAAGGAAAGTTTTAATAAAGACTTGAAAGTACGGAATAGAAAAATCACATATATAGACTAAAATGTAATACAATTATCAATATATTTTATTTATGAAACATTTGTAATTCGTTCAGCCGATACTTGTGTTTGTTGAATTGAAAGTAGCCGTAGCCTTATGAAGAATTGCTAAATTTACGTCGCAAAAAGGATACATATCCAGACTAATTTAAATAGTATTCAATTAGACTTATAGTGCATGAAATAATAAACTAAATTATATACAAATACTGTAAACGGGAAAACACTTGCATTAAGTCATTTTTATACATCTGCTTTAAACATCGAATAGTTAAAAAGATAAAATAATATGCATTACTTTATGTAATTCTTTTGAGCATCATGTAACTTGTTGAATTTATATAAAATTTAATAAAAGAAAATTCATATTTTAATAAATTATTTTGTAAGCTTTAAATAAAATGATTATATTCTAATTTAAAAAATATTTAAAATATCGAATTTTTGTTTTATCTAGAAATAAACAAATATATTATTTTTATAAAATTATAAAATTATAATATGACAACAATATTAGTAATTGTTTAATCAGATCCAATGGAATTTCGAAAATTTTCAATTAAATTGCAATCTGATTTATATAATACAACTATTACTTTTTAATAATTAAATTTTTTAGCTTTTATTCTTAGAACTAGCATATAAATAATTCGTGGAAATAATATCCACCAACATAATTATCCCGTTATTATTAGAATTAAATTACAAATAGGTATAGCAAAAAAAAAATAGTTTATGTATTCTGTTACCTGTGAGAATTTTAACATTAAAAATTAAGTTTCATTCTATCTGTTGATAGTTATCAACTTTATTACTTTTTTATTTTTAAATATCTATTATATTAAAAATTTTTTTTCAACACATTTAATATTTAAGTATAAAATATTTTCATTGTTCTAGATATTTTTGTAGTAACAAAAAGTGAAGATGACATGATTGAAACATTTAGTAGACTGATGGAGAGTCTCTTTAGAGTTTTGGCTTCTATAACAAGTCTGGAAACTTACATAAAAACTTTACGAATTCAAAATGAACATTCAAATCATTCAAAAGCAGATTGCTAATATGATATTTTTCAAGGATATTTAGTAACAATTTTTATTGATATATATTATAATTTTATTGATTATTGTCCAAGTACGTTTTATGTACAAAATGTGTATACTAATAAACCTAATGCTGTTGAACATAATAAAGAATGTAGAAAAAATCAGTAATAAAAATATAATAATAAATATTTATTAGCAATAACCTATACATTAATTTTTTTTTAGTATTCTTATTGACTATTACCATATTAAAAGTATAAAAAAATTCTGTTACATATGTACACTAAAATTCAATTAAAAAAATTCAAGGAACGACTTTTACTACCATTTTTTTATTGTTGAAGTTATTAATGATATTACCAATTTTCTATAACTACATAAATGTACAGTTATTTAAAATTAAAATTAATAATCTTGTACAGGCATGAAATTTGAATAACAAGATTTTCGATTATTTTATTATATTTATTTATTTTTTTATATTAAATTTTATTCTGATATATATGAAGCATTTAAATGGAGTATACAAATAAGTACAAATCTCACTTTGTTAATTGTAAAAATATGGAATTTTGGCTAAAAGTTATACACTTCAATACTATAAAAAATATTTTTGTTATAATTGTATTTTATATTATCTTTCAATTATAATATCTCAATCATTTATGATTCGATTTTAACAAATATAAATTCAATATTGCTATCCTACTTTCTAAACTTCAAAATGCTTCAATTTAATTGTCAAACAATATCATCAAAGTGTCTGCAAAAATTATATTGTCTACTTCGATTTGTATAAGAAATTAAATATTTCTATTTTAATATTATTTTATTTCAAATTATGTAATATTTATTTTATTAATATTTTTTAAAAATTTAACTTACATATTAATTTGAACTGTTCTAAGATCTGCTATATTGTATTTGAAAACATAAATATCTAGGGAATAAGTTGAGGACAACTACGTTTGCCATTTATTTAATTCCTAAATCCAGGAAATTGGTTGTATAATTATTTTTAATATTTTTTAATATTTTAATTTTAATTTTTTAATTATTTTTAAATATTTTTAATAGAGTCACTTCTATTTCATTAAAATTTTAATTATTTATACAAAACAGCCCTTCATAAAAGTAATCATTATTCATTATTTTCTATATTATGTATTTAACAGAATTTATCAAAAACATGTAATAGTATATTTTGTTACAATTTTACAGATTAGTACATGAAAGCTAAATGTATTTGCAGTGAATCAATTAAAAATAAATCATAATGAAAAAATATGTAATTATAAAAATATTAAATATTTAATTTTTGCAATATTTATATTTACACAATTATGAAAATTATTTTAAAAAGTAGATACATTTAATTATGCAATTGTATGCATAATTAATTGTCGATAAATTATGCAGAACATAAACAGGAAAAAATAATTAATAAACATTTTTTACATTATATAATATTGGCTATGTATACCTTATGTAAGTCTAACATAATGTTAACTAATAACATAATTAATTAAATGCTTATTCATTCTATGTGATTACTGTTTTATTATTGTATTATTATGATATTGTACTTATTTTGAAACATTACTCATATTTTGTATTGGATTAAGTTGTATCAATTAAATATGGGTAAGAAATGCGAAAATTATCATAAAAAAGTGTTTTAAATATTAATATGAATGTTTAGAATAGCAGAAGCTTAGTAAAATAGCTGAAAGTGTTATAAGAAACCGAAATAAATCCATTAAGTATTGTTACGATGAAAATAAAGTTACATATACAAACTTTTAAACGATCGTCAGTTTACTAAAAATCGATAGTAAGAATTGCTAATGCTTATTTGACAATTATCTTAGTTTTTAAAAACACTTCATACTTCCTCTTCCTTTTTTTTATTTTTTATTCTTCTTAAGAATTATAGGTTGCAATATTTAAATAAAATACTATTAATAAAGGACATTTGAAATAGAAATTTAATAAGTATTGAATAACCTAGTAAATGCAGATAAAATATAAATATTTAAAATTTAAACATTTTTATTTATTAAACATATATTTTTTAAATTTAAATATATGTAGATAATTAATAAAATGTATAGAAAATAAAAATAATAATCATTTAAATTTTAAAAATTATATTTGTAATTTCATTTATAATAAAAATATTTATAAGCACAAATTCATTAAAAAAGCTATGATTTTATAAGTTATAAATGTGTTAAGTAGAATTATTAAAGAATATTTATGCGTTTAATTATAATTTATATATTTTATACAATGATATTAAAATATATAACATAATTTAAAACATTATTCCTTATAATAAATTGAGCAGAAAATAAAATTTGAATAAAAAACTAAGTGAATAAAATATACCTTTTTAAAATTAAGTACTTTATTTGAAATATATTTAATCTATTATAATATATATTGAAACAAATATAAATTTATTGCAATTTATTCACAAATTAAATGAAATCGATGAATAAATATTTAATTTTTATTGTGAAAAATATGGATATTTGGAAAGTACAATATATACTTAATCTTTAATAAATTACAAGAAAATATATTAAAGTTTAATTCCTAAATAAATTAAAAATTTATAGGTAAACCTAATTTGAATAAATGTAAGGAATTTAAGAATTATTTGTGAGGTTAAAAAGAATAACCACAGAGCCAATCATAGAGATAGAAGTCATGAGATAGACAGGTTTAGATCAATAAACTTAAATGTATAAACTACGAAGTTTGACGCTGAAAAATTGATAATTGCTAGTTCTCGATAAAGAAGGGGAATAATTTTCATTTAGGCATACATGCGTAAACAAATATACATATATACTATATAATATGAAAATGATTTTTGCCGAATATAACTTTAATATTTTATTTTTATGACTTGCAACGTAGGTATTAACTATTGTATTGACTATTAACTATTGCAAAGTAAGTATTAACTGATACTTCAAAACAGGAGTGAATCTATAGATCTTCAGAGCCATTTAAAAAGAGACGACTTGGAATACTCAAATCAATTTAATTATTAAACAAAAAATAAATTACCTAAAATATTGCAATAAATTTTATATTAAATTTTATTGTAAATTTATTTTTAAATAAAATATGGAACAAAATTTTCATAAATGCATGGATGAAGCGTAAGTTTATTTTTTTAAATTATGTTAGTATGTTTTGTTAATTTAAATATTTTATGTTTACATTCTTGTTAGATATAATACCGAAGGTATTGTAGGATGTCTTGTAACTGATAAATCTGGACTTTGTCTGGGAGGTAAATATATTGATTTACTTATGAAATAATATACATAATTTGTAGGTATTTTTCTATTTATATATTTTATAAATATTTATATATGACTATGTGGATTATAGTTAAAGGAAATGCATCGAGTGAAAGTGCTGGAGTTCTTGCAGCAATGGCTGATGTTGTAACAAAAATAGAACCTAGTTCCAAACCTCCAATAATTTCATTTCAAAATGAAGCAAGGTAATTAATAATTATTATTAACTTTGTTTTAATATATCGTATTTATTTTTCTTAATATATTTGTATAAGACAAATTATTTATTTAAATTTATTTCATAAAAAAATCAAAGATTAATTTTTTCTATAATTATTTCTACAGATACAAATAATATACAAAAAAATTTAAACCTATTAAAGATAAATGTAAATTATTTTTATAATACTTGAATCTAAATAAAATTTATTGTTTAATATCGTTATTATTATAAATAAATATAAATAATTTTTAAATTTACTATTTTTAAATTCATCAAAAATACTTTAAAATTTTAACGAATTTTGACTTGTATGTTTTAATTATTTGCAATATGACACATAACTAAGCAAGTAAATTAAATTTCTTTCATAAATATTATAAAGAATATTAGTTTATTATTAAAATTATTTATAATGATACAAATACAAGAATAGTTCTTTGTATTTTCATTTACAAAATAATCTTAATATTGAGCTACGGTGTACAAAAAATTACATAATTTAATGCCTCAACATTATGAATATATTTTTCTTATTACTCATTCTTTATTAATGCCTACATTATATTTCATAATATGAAAAATTATTTTTAACAAAAAAATGGTATATATATTTAATATTTTCTATAAACTATGGAATTTTATTCAGTTTCCATTTTTTCGATAATAATTTTTTATAATATTGTAAATATAATTACATAAATTATTTATTTTGTGTAAAACATATTTAATTAAAATTATATTAATATATTTCTCAGACATTGCCTTATACATCAAGAAGGACCTATCATTGGAGCTATATTTAAAGCTACTTCTATTTAAGTATTTAAATGTAGTTTTTATTAGTTGTTTAACAAACCATTAATTTTTTTTTATAAAATAAGTAATTTGTCCAAATTTGTCAAAATAAGTAATTAAATAGTAAATTAAATAATAGAAATAATTAAAATTATACAAAAGACATCTAAATATTATTTAGAAAATGAAGTAAAATAAATTATATTTAAGTAAAATTTATTTATTGTTTAAAATTTTATTCAATAAATATGTAATCTTGCATAATGTAATTTACTCACATTATTTTTATTATTGTATTATAAATATTCATAAATAATTACTTTTATAACAAAAGTTTTATTACTCTTATTTATATTTACTAAAATAAATATATTTTTATAAAATAAAATAAAATTCTATAATAATGACTTGCTATCAAATATTTATCATTAATTTCCCTGTACTTTATTAGTAAACAAATAACAAAATCCCTAAATATTACATTTGCATGCATAATTTTCATTATATTATACTTGTATTCTATTAAAACAAATATATGTAATGAATTATGAAAAAGCTATAAAAAAAGTAATTAATATTAAAATATTCCATATACTAAATGAATATATTACAGAGAAATTAAATATGTGTAATTTAAATTTAAATGGTAATGTAATTACTTTTTGTTCAATATTTTTCAGTATTTTAATTTTATGAGAATACCATTTCAATATATACAGAAAAAATTAAATTAACAAAACGTAATACTGTCTACATCCAAGAACATAAATTTATTTATTAATGATACGATAAAAAATATCCCTCTAGAATTTAGAATTTATATATTAATGTTGATACGATAATACTAATGCAATTAGTTTTGACAAAAACGCAGTGGATTATTACAATCGAAGTATGTTTAAAGAAAGTGGTCGAAACCAATTAACATTTTTAATAATTTTGTTACTACTTCCAATAATGAAACTTTGACCAACATACTCACTAAATATTAATTGAAGCACGAATTTATATATATATATATATATATGTATATATATATATATATATATATATATATATATACACTCTATATTCATGTGTTGTATATTATATCACTAATAACAATTAATAAAACATATTCGTATTAGAATAAAAATATACTATAAAAATATGAATTTATTTAAGTATTAGCCGATTTTTTAAGTTTATCTATTGTAGGAACTTACTAAGAAGCTTTTATATTTATTTATATTGCGTAGCTAACAGCCATTTATAAATTATTTCAATAGCAGAAAAAAAAATAAAAATGAAACAAGTACTAATGTGTCGATCTCCCTTTTCATATTCATACCTTTTTCCGTAGTTTTTCAGTTCCATACTTTTATTTCTTCTATTACTAAATTAATATTGTATATGTTCATGGAAACTAAAAACGTGCATTCACAAAAAGTTTATTGATTTGAACTATTTTAAAAAATTAATTTTTCAAATAAAATTCATAATTATTTTATGTTAATATCTTCAAGTAAATGTCAATTTTGTAATATTTTTTCGAATTAGTCGATTTTGTTTTTTAATGATAAAAATTAAAACTGCAAGCATATTATAATGTCTAATATTGTTTAGATGACAGTTCGATGTATTATTAGTTAACACTTCAATAAATATGTACATGTGATAAATTGATATTTATTTATATACATTTATATATTTATATACATTTATATATATTTTATATATTTTTATATATATTTATATATATTTATATACATTTATATAAAAATTGGATTTTACTATTAAAAACTGTTTTGAGAAAATTGAGACTTCGTTTATAGCATTAAAATGAGAACATATTGTATAGTAGCAAATGAAAACTGAGAAAAAATTATAAATGCAATACTATAACGAATCAATATTTATCACTTGAAGATATAAAAAAGCAAAATTTTTGTTGGTACTTTACAAATTATCAAATTCCATTTAAAACATAAATATTGTTCGGTTTTAGGAAATGAAGAATAATAATTATCACTAAAAATCTATTACATTTATTATTTATTATACAAGTTATTAAAAACAAATACTAGATATTAATTTTTTTAATATACATTATGCTTTCTATTTGAATGAAATGCAACGAAACGTTAGTAAAAAGCTGTATTAACGTTCTATACTTCTATGTTAGTATGGTTAAAAATAAAGGTAAAATGAGTAGCTATATAATATAGAACGATATAGAAAATTAATAAATAATAGAATCATCTAGACTGGAAGATTTTCTAAACAGGTTCAAAGAGTTTGTTTAATCTGAAATTAATGTTGTTTTTAAAGATTTTATCTTGAAATAGGAAGAGTGTTTAATTTATTACAGTAGTAAAAAAAGTTGAGTGTGATAGAAACATATTTTCAGATTTACATTTAAATAAAGCTATTTAGGGAGTTATGAAGTTTCTAAAAGCGATTTTCGAGGAATACTTAAGAATTATGTTAAATATGTTGAATTAAGTTAAATCTGACTTCTCTTTAGGGTAACTGCATGTTACAAAAACCATACATTATAATAGTTTGATTTTTATTCAATTTAGTCAAGATTTATAAAAAAGGTTTAAATTTGCAGTTTAATATAGGGAATGTAAGAATCGTAAAATTAAAAAAATTTGTTTTCCATAATGATATGCAAATTATGTAAATTAAAGTTGTAAACTATTGGAAATTATTATTAATATAAACATCAGATTTATATTTAAATTGATCATTTGTGCTATGACATTAATTTATTAAAAAAATAATTTATTAATTAAATAGTGTCAAAATGTAGATGAAAAATTAATTAGAACAACATATTAAATTATAAATATTACTATAAATTATTATCCTCCATTTTATCTTCCATTTAATAAAATATACAGTTTATTTATAATTTGTTAAGCATAAAACTATTAAAAATTAAACATTATTTTAATTGAAATCTATTTCAAATTTTTTTTTAAAGTGCCTAACATTTAAGAGTTTAAGTATTGTTTTTGTGAATCATTTTGTAAATTACAATATTAACAGTTAGTTTTTTTTTAATTTATTTAAAATGTCAATTCCTTTTTAATAAAAAAATTAATCTAGAATATCAATAGTGCGAAGAATTTATACTTATATTTTATATTTATTATTCTAATATTCTAACAAAGCAACATGAAATGAAACCATCTATAATCAGTGTACGAATAGAACAACAAATATTCGGGTTAACAGGTTATATATACTCTAGTCAACGTTTGTTGGCTTCAAAATAAAATAATTAAGAGACCACCAATTCTTCGTTCTCTATATATTCATATAAATCGTTTCGAATATATTGATATAAAAAATGTTTATAGATGTTTATAGGTGTTCATTTTCTTAATATAGCGTTGATCTTCAACCATTATTTTATCCAACGTTTGAATAGGTTATTTAGGTATTGTAGATGCTCTTCAATTTGAAGTTTAGTCATAGATAAACCTGAAGAATATTCGTGTGCTAAACGAATGCACGTCCATGCATTCAACCGTAATGATTGTATAGTATGTTTGCAAGTACAGAATAAACATCAAATTAAAGTAAGTAAATGGAGTATTACGTTGGGTGTGTCCTAATTCTATCTTGTACTTATTTTTGTACATTTGTAGTCGTTTCAGAATAATAATTTTAATAAATATTTAAATATTTGAAAAAAAGTAATACAAGTGATTGATTTGTTTAAGACTGTTTATCATTTTAACTATTCTTATATACGATATCTCTGATAAGGTAATTACTAATTTTTATAAAAACCGATTTAATTTATTTATTTTCTTTTAAATTGTAAGTAAAAACTATAATTTATATTAAAGTACGTCATACTTTTTAATACTTTTTTATTCAAATTTATAAATTAACAGCATTTATTCTAACTTATATCATATATGATTTAACTAAGATGTACTTTACCTAATTATAATTATAAAAATGCTCATTTTAACAATAAATTACTATAATTAATTATGCATTATGAGAAGCGATAAAGATTCACAAAAAAATTTTCAGAAAAAATCAAAGAATTAACTAAATATATTAAATTAATAAATATTACATTTCATGCTATGAGAGTAACTTTATTAATGATTTACTGTTATATGTAATCCGAATATAGTTATTTGCATTTATTTAAAATATTTGTAAACATATATAACTTATATTAATGTATAGATATATTAAATATATAATTAATAATTGTCATAATCTATGATTTCGTAATCATTATTATTGCAATTGCTATTTAGTTAACAAGCCATTATAGTTTCATGAACATTAGTTAATTCCTTTTAATATTACAAGAATATTAAAAAAGAAATTATATCCGTATTGTCATATCACTAAAATTTGGTTTTTTAACAGTTTCTTATTACATTAACTAAGTTCGTGATTATCAATTAATTTTTTTGCTCAATTTTATTAAATTTAAATTGTGTTCACAAATACAAAATTATACGATACATAATTATACATAAAGAAAATGTTACAACCGGCTATATTTATTTACTATTTCATAATAATATATATTTTTAATTAAATTTCAATATTTCAATAGATCTAATAAGGTAGATTTTTGGAGTATGAACCATTAATATTTTAATTCAATCAGAGTATTAATTTAATTAATATAAGTCATCAGTCTAATTTTAAATATAATTAAGGAATTTAAAATTAATTTGATTTTGATTTTACTTTGAATAGTGAAGTATTCGATATTGATATATTGAACTTTTAATTCTACCACATTGAGTACATAGTAAACAAAGTTATATAATAAAATTCTCAATAATCCGATTCATTAAATTGATCTATGTAATGCTTGCTTGTACGATTTAATAAACATGTGATTTTTGTTATGAAAATTAAATTCTTATAATTATCCATAAGTTTTATTACTACTCATTATATGTTAAATATAACTATCTAAATTTGTATACTTAAACTAACTTCAATAGAAGTTTTATTCATTGTATAACAAAAAAGTAAATGTAAAAATAAAAGAAATTTTGTAAAAAATAAACTTATGTCTTTTACTTTTGTTTAAAAACT